GCTCCACAGCCCGGTCAGTTGGGGTGGCAAAGTCAACTTTCCACGATCGTGCTTCGGGTAAACCGTCTATTGTCGAATCGCACCAAAAACTGCAGTTTCTAGATCCAGAACAAGAGAGACAGCTGGTTCAATGGCTCCAAGAGATGGAACAATGGGGTATGGCTTGTAGGGCCTATCACGCGGTTGCAATAGCTGAAGAACTTGGTGGTCGCAAGCCTGGTCGAAACTGGCTCTCACGCTTCACTAATCGGCATAGCCTCAGAACGGTATTCTCACGTCAAATTGATCATCAACGCGCGTGGAACAACGATCCGGATATTGTCACTGCTTGGTTCGATTTCTTCAGCAGCAAATACTATGAGTATAGCATTATACCGGCCAATTTCTATAATATGGATGAGAAGGGTATAATCCTCGGCTTTTCAGCTACTACCCGAGTGATTATAAGCTGCAAGGGAGGCTCTAGATCTGTCCGGCAACCAGGCAATCGAGATTCAGTATCAATCATCGAATGCGCATGTGCTGATGGGACAATACTAAAGCCTCTATTGATCTGGAAGGCTGCCCAGCACCAATTTGGCTGGTATACTGACCACCACAATCGATCTGGATGGCGATATGCAACCTCACCAAATGGATGGACCGATCAAGAGCTTGGTTTCGCTTGGTTGAAGGGTTTTGATCAAGATACTCGTGATAAGGTTCAAGGAGACGCCTGGCGCATGCTCCTATTGGATAACCACGACTCTCACCTTACTTGGCAGTTTATTAAATACTCAAAGGATCACCGGATATGTATCATCAGCCTTCCGCCTCATTCAACTCACCTGCTTCAGCCGCTTGATGTCGGTCTTTTCAGCCAGCTTGACCATTTCTATGGGATAGAGGTAGATAACCTCTCACGCGCCGGTGTTATGGGTATAGATAAAGATCAATTCCTCAATATCTATCCTAGAGCACGTGATAAAGCCTTTACCTTATCTATTATCCAGCGCGCATTCAGATCTACTGGCCTTTGTTCAATATATCCGCGTGCAGTACTTAAAAAGCTGCCTCCACGACCTCAAACACCACCGCTAGAGCCTAAAACGCCACAAAGGACGCCAACCACCTATCACGAATTCACGCGCTTATGGTCCTCCCTCCGCTCCGGCGACCCCTTGCTTGAATCGCCTACTCGCCGCAAGGTTGACCGCCTATTTAAGGCTGGTGCGCACGCCTATACTGATGCTACTATCCAACGGCGGCTGAACACTGAGTTTCAGGCCTATCGCAAGCCGAAGACAGAGGATAAACGTCTCTTAAGTAAGGGGAGGGTCCTCACGGAGCAGGATATTAACCGGCTAGTAGCAGAGGCTGAGGATAAGCAGCAGGAGCTTAATCGCAAGGCTAAAAAGAAGGCCTATCTTGAGGGTAGCTGGCAGCCAGAGGTTAATACTGCTAACCACCAAGCTGCTATCCTAAACCTAGCTGAATAATATCAAGAGTATGCTGCTTATTGTCACGTTTTTAGATGTGATTATCAGCCTGCGAAACTAAGCTTCCAGCAGTGGGTAGCGCCGCGGGGGAGGATTGGGGTATACACGTTAGATAGCAGCACAACGGCTTCACTTTTTTTAATTATTATATGCTGCAATTAATGCGCAAGCTTCCTATTGCTATGCACTATAATATTAAGCTAAAACACCAAAGCGTGGTGGTGGATCGATCGTGGTAAAGATCGCGATCTCGGTGGTGATCGTGTCCGAGCTCGTGGTGTGTCCGAGCTGGTGGTGAAATCCGTTACTGGACAGGCTGGACTGGCATTAACAGTAGCGTGCTTATATTGAAGCGCCCGCAAGTATGATGGCGCTTACACCAACAGCTGATACCATTGGCCTAAATAGGTTCCACCAAGTGTGCGGTAGCAACACCGTTATCTAACAGCTCGCCATGCACAATTCTGACATCCAATGAACACAGCAGTTGTTTCAAGCTGCTAGAACACGATCATGTATGCACAAAGCATCGATGATTGGGAATCAGCTTCAATCACCTGAGACGGTTGTCTTGCCGCGCGAAGCGCCTTCTATATCATTGTGAAGTGATTCGCCGTATCCCTCGCATTCTGAAACCGTTTCATTGGATTCTTCCTCTACATTCCATCCTACCAAATAGCTTGTCGCCTTACAACATAGGCTATTACTGGCAAAACCGCCCCCAAAATATCGGGGACAACTCAGCCTTATGTGCAACTGAGGAACTCTTATAGTCTGCGACCTCGCGTCTGGAGCTTGTATTCGTCTACAGCTGCACAAATTCTCAACACAAATTGACTTAAGTCCTAACGATGCCCGCACATTCGTCTTCAACCTCGTCTATGTTAGCGCAACATCGCAGTGCGCTGAGGCGGATGATCCAAGAAGCATGGAGTCTTCATGGACAACTAAGAACCAAGAAGACCGAACTGGGTGGAAGAGCAGCGAGACGTACCAACGAGCTTAACCAGTTAAGAAACCGGAAGGCTAGGCTAAGAAACCAGGATTCCTCAGGTAAGTAGTTTCCCGTGCGTCGGTCAGAAGAAAGAAAATCGAGCACACTAATGTAATCCTGCTTAGATGCTAGGAGGCTCGATGAGCATATCGCTCACCTCACGCACGAACATGATGAATTTGAAAAGCAATGGCAAAATATTCAAGCAAATATGGACAGAGTGGATGCGCATCGAGAACAGTTGCAGCAGTGTTTGGACGCATTGACAAACGGTTAAACGTGAGCCCTATGATGGTATGTCAACATCCCAGAAGAAGTCCAAAAGGTATGAGCTGATAAGGGGAGATTCAGTCCTGCGAGTCTTAGTCGAGCATGGTGGACGAGCAAACTATGAGCTGAGGATGCGGACTGGAGCGATCGAAATTGATTAACGGGCCTTGCGGTACTGTGAAGCCTGCCATGTTTTGTCCCCCTTTGATTGTTCGTTGGCGCCTGTGTTGGAAGCCCCATTCGTACTGCCAAGTTCGGGAAAGAGGGAAGAATGATAGTTTGTATTAAGTGATCCATATGAGGCATCTTTGCATACTCTGGAGGGCTGTCTTAAGAGCAGAAGAGAACGAAGTGTTAGTAGAGTTATGAGCTTCAAGGCTGCAAATGAGGTATCAGCCTAATTCCGTTCGAATTCATCGGTCGCCCAACAGTGTAGCCCTTGCAGCTTCCGACTGCGTGGAAGATGGCTCGTGCAGCACCTAGGCATGTGCAACCTCCAAAGCTGATGGCATTTATTAGCTGGAAGCTGGATGAGATGGAGACAAGTGTCGAGAAAGAATAAAGAAGACAGAGATTTGCCGCAGCCTTGTGGAGGGTGAGGCTGGCGCTAGCGTAGCCTGATACTGCCGCCGCTAATTATAGAATGACCGAGCCTTCTGTCCCGCTCGAGTTGGACTCGACTATGTGAATCTGACGACACGATCGGCAAGGCTGCATGCATGCAGATTGAGCTCTTCCTAGAATAGAGAGAGAAGAAGTTGTTACGTCGGTCCGCTAAGCCGCCCAGTTTCTACGTACTATCGCTCGAGGGCACCTAGAAGAAAGGCAGACCCGCTTCAACTCGATAGTTGTACTAAGTGTAACTTCTGCTATCTAACTATACTGCAAAGGCAGCCTGTCCCGTGAGTTGCTATTATATAGTATAATTAGCGCTATAAATAAAGCTTTGATATGATTATATACAAACTTCTGACTCTACTATGATTTCTTCAAAATAAAGAAGTTCCTACTATATAAAACACTAAATCAAAAGCAATTATAAGAGATACTTACAGAATTAATAATTTGAAATTTAGCTTCCAGTCTCACGCACTGCGCTGGCTGCGCTTCCGCGAGCAGACTGATTCCATTATCCGCAACCAGCAGACCACTGGCATCGCCGAAGCATTCACATTTATCAATCAAGCGCCCCTTAACCCTGGCGACTATCTCTACAAGCTGTCCGGGGCCGACGACCTATGGCTTGAATGTTGGGGACTGATCCGCGCGTTCGACCGGCCTCTCGCCGGCTCCTGCCCCGACCTGGTCACACTCGCGCCGGCCTCGAAGGATGGACCAGGCCAGGAGCAGACGGAGAAGTCTGCGGCAGCCCTACAGCCGCCGGTACCCGCGTCGCCAGTGCGGGAGTTCCTTGTCCAAGCCAGACGTGCGAACCTGCTGTACCGAGACGACATCATCGACCCGCACGCTCTCGTCTATGAGGTGGTCGACGCCTTCCCTCCGGTTTGCCCGGACATCACCACGCCGAAGTGCCGAGAAGGCGAAGAAGTGGTCGTCAAGCTCAAGGACTGCTTGCCCGAGGATCTCCACGTCGAACGCTCACACTTGTAGAGCCGGTGGATTCTCACAACTGTTACCGTCGGGTTGTGAGCCAAAAATGCCAGCACTGCATGCAGCCATTTCTTTGTTGCCAGCTAAAGGAGCTTTGTCTGAATCAATATCGCGGCTCCCGCCCTGTGATGCTTGTTGTCTGTCTGGCAGATGCGCAGCTTCCACATGGCGTACTCTTGGTTTGACTTCCTCCCATTGCCGACTGACACAATGTGTATTGGAGCTGGGCCTGGAATGCAAAAGCCTGTCAACGCCCACTACCTCCTACGCGCGATCCAGGGCCTCTGCCGTGGCTCCGAGCGATGACCACTGTCGTCCAGAGTAAGACTACCCAACTGACTGATTTTGAAAGCCCGAAGTTTTTCCAGAGCAGTTTTGAAATCATCCAATATAACCGAGTCGGTAAGGCATTTGAAGACAAAGCTCAGTTTCCAGAATGGATTTATACCGACAGGCAAGGACAATTTGAGAGCCGTTGTAACGGAAAGGGCATCAAGGACGGTAAAAACTAGGCTGACGAATACTGCTCCTAGCATAACGCCAAAACGAGGAGAGATGCGAAGAATTTCGGATATCCGGAGCTCATAGCGTGTTTTGATATTGTAAAATAGCGAGATCGTCGTGAAGACCGACCATGGACCACTATTCTAATGTGAGTTCAAATTGATATGAAGGGGAAAAGTAGGGCACCCTAACCGACAGAGGGCCTCCCAAGGCCTGGTTCGCAGGAACAAGTCGTTTATGTTGATGTAGAAGGAGAAGGTGGCATAGATCTCAACGACCCAGTATGGCTGCACAAGTATAACAGTGCCAACAAATATGGCACTGGGCACCTTTGAGAGGAAGAGCCTGATTTTCATCCATGCGATGACATTGTGGAGGGACCAGGACGCATTGAGGAAGATACCGCCGACAGAGAGCCACCAAGAGTAGATGGGGTCGCTGAATAACATCGAGAAGCCCTGCCATATACCGAGAAGCAACTATGCGAACGGCAGAATTAGTATCAATTACGAAAGTTATTGAGATGACTGTGGTGGCGAACTGACCTCGAGAAGAATCAATTTGTGCAAGAGGACGCCCTTTCTCATATTGGCCAATGCGATACATATCATGATGATGAGCGATCAACCATATAGCCCTCTGACCATGATTCAAGTGCGGCGTTTGCAAGTTCGTAGGTTTTCCCCCGTCGCGCTCGACGAGGACGACATGGTGGGCCGAGCGAGCAAGCGGATTCATGGCCGAAGTAGTGCGAGAAGCGGACCAAGGGATACGACTATGGATGGTTTCCGCCGTACTTAGTGAGAGCCGTCCATATAAACGAAGGGCATTAGCACAGAACGCATGGCTGATCGGCAAGACCGCAGCGTTAACTCTGCAGGCGAGACCATGGATCAATTAGACGGCATTGCCCTAGAACAAGTTTGCGGGGTAAGCTGGCGACAATTAGCGGCCGTGTAGGGCTCTGAGATTCGAAGGCTTGCCAATAAGCCCAAGGGCCATGAGCGTGGACTAAAAGCTTGTTTTCAACTCCTTAAGGTAACCCCGCCTGGAGCCCCTCGAAAGATGTCGCGGACCTTGCAGCCACCTGCAAGCCACTCCTTGGCAACGCTGCCAGGATTGAAGGTCTCCGACTTCCACTTACCCATGCGGAGTTCCTGATTTGGAAATCCGTCCGCTACACACCTCTTTTGCACAAGGACCTTCGGCAGGCTCAAGCGGGTGGATATCCCAATAGGTACCTGGACGCTCCGCCGGTTGAAGGCTCCGCAGCGGTGGGCGGATTCAGGGTGTCTGGACCTCGCCTTCTTTCGACATGCTAGAGAAGTGCCGAGATGTGTATTTCCAGTCATTCGTTGGTTAAGCGATGTATCAAGTACTAGCTAAGGTATGGTACTCTAATGAAGCCTGCGTCTTCCCAGAAGGACATAGCTGGGCTTGTTCTAGACCGACACTTGCTTTTCGATTCAGTCCCATCTTTGTTAGTTGCAACCGCCTTGAAGCGGAGGACAGCTGCGGAGGCGGTAGCCTCAATCTGTATCCCCGCCCCAGGGAACTTTTGGCCTACACTTTGTTGCATTTAAGGCACGGATGCGCCCCAGTTTCCTCGACTTTCTCTCGACATCACACAGAGACTTTGTCAATCATTTTCATAGTGTTCAATCTGAGTTCGTCTATCTCTTCGGAACGTCCCAAACCCATCGCCCGACATGCCTGGTGGAGGCGTTGTACTCGCGGCTACGACCGATGTCAACCGCATTGAGGCTCCAGTGATCAGGAAGGCGTACTTGATGTGCGCCTTTGCTGCCTTCGGCGGTATCTTCTTCGGCTACGATTCGTACTTACATCAATTCCAAATAATACACCAACGAAAAACGCGCTGACTGTGCACAGTGGCTATATCAACGGCGTAATGGGTATGCGGTACTTCGTTCATGAATTCACCGACCTCCCATATCCAGCGGCAGACGCTACTGAGGCAGAAAAGGCTGCCTTTGTGATTCCAGCATGGAGGCAGTCCTTGATTGTTTCTATCCTGTCCGCTGGCACATTTATCGGATCCATTGTCGCAGGTGACGTTGCAGACTTCCTTGGCCGCCGAACGACTATTATCGCGGGACGTGGGATCTTCTCCGCGGGAGTTATTGTGCAAGTCGCAGCTACAGCGTATGATCTCCTTGTTGCTGGTCGTCTCATCGCAGGCCTTGGAGTGGGCTTTGTATCAGCTATAATCATTCTTTATATGTCTGAGATTGCCCCGAAGAGAGTCCGCGGCGCTATCGTGTCAGGTTATCAGTTCTGCATCACTGTTGGCATCATGCTTGCAAGTTGTGTCGTCTACGGAACTCAGAACTATACCGACTCGGGCTCGTACCGGATTCCCATTGCGATTCAATGGGTCTGGGCCCTCCTCCTTGGTAAATGTCTACCCATTTCCGGTTTGAACAAAGGTTAAATCTGACATCGGCACAGCTGTTGGCCTAGCATGCCTTCCTGAGTCACCCCGCTACTTTGTCAAGCGTGGAGAGCTCCAGAAAGCAACAAAAGCGTTGGCGAGACTCCGTGGACAGCCTGACGACTCAGAATATATTCAACAAGAACTCGCCGAGATCGTGGCTAATCATGAATACGAACTTCGTGCCACTGGCGAAGGAGGTTATCTCCAGACTTGGCTCAACTGCTTCAAAGGATCTATCTTCGACCCGAAGTCAAACTTGCGTCGTACTATTCTCGGGACCTCGGCGCAGATGATGCAACAGTGGACCGGAATTAACTTTATCTTTTATTTCGGCACAACATTCTTCCAAAAACTAGGTTCTATCAACAATCCGTTCCTTATTTCGCTTGTAACGACGTTAGTCAACGTGTTCTCAACACCTCTCTCCTTTTGGACTGTAGAACGCTTCGGCCGTCGTCCACTCCTAATCTGGGGAGCCCTAGGGATGGTTGTTTGCCAATTCATCATTGCGATAGCCAGAACAGTTGATGGTGCAAGTCCAGCTACAGTGAAAGCGGAAATCTCTTTTATATGCGTCTATATTTTCTTCTTCGCATCGACCTGGGGCCCAGGAGCTTGGGTGGTCGTTGGTGAAACGTTCCCACTGTCCATTCGGTCTCGGGGTGTGGCTCTCTCGGTTGCGTCTAACTGGCTGTGGAACTGCGTCATCGCTATCATTACTCCCTACATGGTTAACCCAGACCAAGGAAATCTCGGGGCCAAAGTATTCTTCGTCTGGGGCGCACTTTGCATCGGTTTGCCTCTTGTGGGCTTACTTCTTGGTCTTCGAGATCAAAGGTTCGTATCAAGATCAGCGGCAATGCGGGCAGGAGCTAACCGCGGAACAGGTCTCTCACTGGAGCAGGTTGATGCCCTTCTCGAGGAATCAACCCCACGAAAATCTGCCAAATGGGTCCCAACTAAGACATTTGCCCGCGAAATGGGCATCGATGGGTCGGGTGTTCTGAAAGGGGAAATTGTTGAAGATGTCGAACGTAGAGGTTCGGTCTTTTAGATAGGGCAGTCAGAACGCAAGGGACTTTTCCAGGCTGGACTCGTCAGATGTCAGTGCTGACCTGGCCTGCGGGGAGGAAGGTAAGAACGACACTCGCATAACACTGTTGTAGAGTTAATCCACCAGCCTAAACAATCACAAACGGAATTTCTCATCAAGGATTGCCTCTCTACCCACGCTGAAACAGAAGTTCTTAGCACTGATGGTTGATCCACTGCAATTTGCCTATGGTTTGGGTTGGTATATATCGACAAAGGTGTCACCTATGATCAAACAGACGCGACGATTAGATATGCACAAGGCTTTTAGTCTTGCGACTGGGAGCATAATTCCGTATATATAAATCAAGGCTATGATGATGTTTAAAGCAAACCATCCCTGGGTATTGGTTTAGAAACGGGCCTTCCCTTATTTCTCATTGAACTCTAAAGGCCGCGGGCGCTCGGATCTTAAAGCTTAGTTTTTTTGACCTTATCTAGTATAAGATAAGGCCTCTATATATCTGTTTAACTCTGTATGTAAAGACTCATAACAAAGGTATAGCTTTCCCGCCACCTTAACGTTGTTTAAGTCTATTCTACCTTCTTTTTCCGTTCTTTAGATTAGTTACGTATCTCCCAGCTTGGATAATTGCCTGGCGCCTCGCGGTTCCAAGCTTTAGAGCCTACAATTCTCTCTAGAGTTCTCGTCGCCCCGCGACACAATCGAAACTCCTAAGGCAGGGCTTGAGCTTCTCAATTTAGCGACAATTAGTTGCTAAGATATAACCATCTGAGTCATCTATCTCTACGGCGGTTTTCATCTGGAATTTCTTCTAATGGTATCCGGCACGATGTTTGCCGTCGCTGCCGACATGTAATCTTACCACCCCATCGCTTTCCTCAACACAACAATACTTCCGAGAGAATGTCATAGAACCGTTATGGGCTTGGCGCAGGTTCCGCGAGGTGCGCCCAGGCTAAAGCACAGCCTCATAGGCAGAAAAATTCTCAGGCCCAGAGTGAGGGGAGTAGAGACGGAAGCAGAGTGTCCAACTGTCAGTGGACGAGGTTGATTACCCTTGGTGAACCGTCTAATAGGATATTGTCGACGGTCTGGTCTGGTCTGGTCTGCGACCCCCTAGTCTAATAGACTAGATGGTCTGGACAGGTGCGGTCTGCAGACTGGACCAGAGCGTCCCACTAATCTGACTGGACAGTTGGACACTCTGAACCGAAGAAGATGGCACGCTGTTGAAACCTTACGAAAATGATAATATAATATCAATGTGACCAAAGGTATCTGTTATCGAAAGCTCATGCGTGGATTTAACACCCGAGCTAATTCTTATACGGGGTGGTACTATCACTTGAGCTCTACAAGCATCAGACTTCTCATGCTTATACAATACAAAACTCTTGAACCTCTTGCACGTTCAATTTAGCCATTTTCTCCACGCCGAGTTTTTTCATAACCATTATTCCTTCCCTTCGCCACAACCCGCTACCGTGTTCCGCACATAAGACCAACCAAACCGTGTCCAACAGGGAATCCAATGCGCCATTTCCTCTCCTTTCCGTTCCGAGTAGTGCCACAACAGCCCTGTCTTCTCTGGCGGCGGCTTGGATCCGCAATCTTCTCCGTTCTCGCTCTTCTGCAACTTTTACTGCTTCGGAAGCAGAGATCTGCGTGGGTTGCAGAGGTGGTCGCAACACATGCGCACCAACAGCGCCGAAGAGTTCGTCTGATGCGAGGCTGTAGTCCGGATCGACAGGCTCAACGGCGGCACGGCAAATTTGGGGAAGGAGGACGTTATGGCTGTCCATAAAACGAAGGAGGATGTTGCCGTGCATCGCGCCAGGTTCGACACCGAACACACTATCATCAAGACGGTAGCAGTCCGCAATGCGAATGAAGGGCATGCGAAGATATATCTTTTCTGCGCCTTCTCTCCGAAAATCCAACGTCGAGTTGGGCTCTAGATCGAGAACGTCGCTGTAATTAAAGCCATAACCTGTAGGAAGCCAGGACGGGGCGTTTGGAATGCCATGTGGAGGATGATCCGGAGCGCGCACGTCCAGAAGCGCAATCAAGTCGCCGGATTGGATACGGAGGTAAACAAAAATGACGAAGACGGTGGATAAGGGGAGTTTGTAGTCAACTGGGACAGTCCTTCTGATAGAAGCTGGAAAGAGCCCTAATATGCCATAAATCTTGTCGTGTTGATGGACCGAGGCACGATCCCTCAGAAGGATCATGCAAAAGTCGGTGGAGAGCGGCGGGAACACGGAAGGAGAGAACAGGAAGGAGTGGGGGAGGGTGTGGAAGGAGGTCAAAATGTGGAACTATGCAGCAAGGACTTCATCGCCACGGAGAGTGAGGGCTGAGGAAACTTCAAAGGAAAAGATGGAGGAGGAGGAGGAAGAATTATTGCAGGAAGAGGTGGTTGCGGGTCTCAAGGTAGCCGCCTTGCTTCCAAAACCCACTGCCGTCGAAACGCCTTTTTCCAAAGTATAGTTGGAGCCTATAGCGGCTACTATAATGGTGGCACGCCGCTCGAATCTTATATGTTCGCTAGCCAGCCTCCCACTGCCCTCGCCGGTGTAGCCGTCGTTCTGTTCTCACGCGCTGATTCCATACCTACCTACCGACGTGGCTAAACACGACATGGTAACATACTTGAGGCGAGCTCGAGCAATATTATCTCCATGTGGCCGCATGCAGCTGCAGCGGAGTAGACAATGTCCGTGTCTCCCTGTTGCTCAAGGACATGATGTTCCAGACGTTCACCGACCGCAAGATCACGCAGATGGAGGGTTTTGGAGCAGTTGTTGAAGAGGAGAAGACATCAAAGCTCGCGAGGCGAAAGCTATTGGAGATGACAGGGGTGCAGCATTCTGACTTTCCTATTTCTTCCAGTCAGATAGATAGGCTTAGGGTTGTTAATGATTCTATATGTATCCAATGACGCCGTTAAATTCTGCTTTAGCGAAGGAGCTGTACCCTTTGGATAAGAGCCAATCACTTAGCTGTGCCTGCTGAATGTTCAGACGTGTCACTGGAAAAATCATAGCTGGTGCGTTGTTACTCGTGCTCCCACTGTGTGGGTTCTACAGGCCTCACTCGTCGTGCCCGGTCTGTGCGAGCCATTTGGCCGGCAGAGCAGCTTCAGCCATCAATAATTCTACCCTGAATCAGTTCTTTTAAAAGCTAACGCGACCTTCAAACCTCGAAGTCAGAGCTCCTAGCACTTGCTCCTAGCACTTTCCGTGGCAACCGCAACAATCGGACTCCCTACCCAAGATTCTCTTCTGCAATGGGTCGCCTGCTTGCTTGTAGACAAAATCAACCCTGCTCTTTAAATCACGACTCCACTTGGTTGATGAACAGTTCCTGACTTCTATAATGTACGCGCATGCGTGTCAGCTCACGTCCTGTTCTCTTTGACCTCGACTAGCTCGCTTGTTCTCACCCGACGTGCGATCTGCCGCAGGCAAAGAAGACCATCATGAACAGTAGCTGCGACTACGGACGAAGCCGCGACGTCCAAGCGTCCAACGGACTCTCACGCTAGCATTTGAAGCCCACGCGTGGGAGGCGCGCTAACAAAATCACGTGATTCAGCAACGTTCTCCTTTAGGCAGTTGGGTCTAGACAGTAGTTGAAGGCATTTGCTGGCTATTCTCTCGTGCGTCTTGGCCTCATCTATCCAGAATGGGCTCTTTCCACGTTTCTGAGGATCGAGGAGGAAGTCGCGGAAAGAAAGATGTAGAAGTCTTACGGGAGCGTCTCGGTTGGTAGGAATGCTGAGAACGGAATGCAATGAGTCTAGGCTGCAATTGACGTCCTCCTCTGGGATGTTAAGGAGGCTCGCAAGTGAAATAATGGAGAGCGGATCGGCAAGGAGGACGACTGCCCCAACTACCTCTCGGAACTCTCTGGCCCGGCTCTCTTTCTCTGCCTCGTCTTGATCAAGAAGTAGCTGTTCCAGGATTGGGAGATACGTTCTGTCGAGCTTGGACGCCCAGCTTGCGGTTTGATACTCAAGTATACTGGCCAGGCGCTTTTTCGGGTTCCCTCTTTGATCTCCAACGAAACGACATACGGTGGCGGCGAAGATAAACAGGGGAATCGCCATCTCAACCAGAGCTTGGATGTTGCTTTCCCCGGGCCAATCTGGGGACAGCAGATGCTGAGGTCTTATCTTCGAATGCTCCGCTCTTATCTCCGTGAATTCGTGTTTCAGAAAAGCGGATATATCATGCTCGATCGTTGCCTTAGGTATCTCGTGGAGAACCAGATCCTGATACGTGCCTCCTGACATATCCTTGAAGCCGAGGCGAATCGGCAGCTCTGGTCTGCTGGTCACAAAGATCCGCAAACATACCGATCTCACATCCTTGGTCTACGGCAAAAGACGAAGGATGGTTCTTATGTCTCTTTCTCGCTCGCACTCGTCCAATGCGTCAACCACTATAACTAGTTTCGAAGCCTGCGGAGGAACGCGCTTCATCTCAGACAGAGGCTGGAGGATAAGCTTCTCAAACTGCTCTTTCAGAGTCTTTTCGGAAATGGCAGGGTCGGCGTCGATCGCTTCCCTAATACATGGTATCAAACCAGGCACCTTAATTACTAGTTGAGCTGCGATGGTGGTGAAAAATCTGGCGGCATTACCATGGTCGCCTTCGCCTCTCTTAAAGAAGAAGCTAGCTCCTAGCTGACCTTTGTCGGCGAAAGATTGGGCAATAGTCCGAGAGAAGGTAGACTTCCCCGTGCCAGCCATACCGTTCAGCCAGAATATGCATCTGCCTTGCCTGTCCTCAACCCACTCCGCAATCTGGCGACGCAGGTTAACTCTAGTGTTAGGAAGACATCTTGCGTCGTGCTCATCTAGGTGCGAGTCGAAAGATGCCCCCTTGGCAGAAGGTAGTTTGGCTAAGTCGATCTTCTGGTTGATGCCGAGAATGAGCGCGCTACGCTGAACAGATCCGTCAGCTGTCTTGGTCCACAGCAAGCGGATGCGGATTTATGAACCCACGTTTGGTCGACTTGCAGAGCTAGAGAGACCGTCTGCTTGCATCTTTCGAGATTTCTCACGACCTTATCCACCTCCTTGCTCTCGAAGGGCCACTTCAAAGCTCGAACGCCGAACCGGCTCATAGCCTTGCGTGTCTTCCCCGGATCCAGTCCCTTCTTCAGCTCTGTCAGCTGTGTGAAGCAATCCTTAAGCGCGTCGCGCAACTTCTGGGAAGCCGAGAGCTGCGCGCTGTCCGGCCTATAGAGCAGCCGCTCGACTCCTCGAAGCACATCGGTGACGCTGTTAACCTCCCCTCGGAGGCGTTCGATATCGTTTTTAGCATCCTTGACGGCGAGGGGGTACTGGACGCAGAGCGAAGCGATCTTCGCAGACAGGTCGACGATAGCGATAATGTTCGCTGTTACTCCGAGTGGCTCCATCCTCGCGCGACCTTACGCGAGAGCGCGGCGGGGAACCGGCGGCGATCGGCGGGGACTGCTGGGGAGCGGGGCTACCGATACCCTCGATCACTTCGAACACCTTATTTTTAGAGTAAGAGCACGGTCCTGATCAATTTTGATGGCTTTTCAAAATTATAGCGTCCGGATGTCATGTATGCGACAGATGCCATCACGGTTAACAAGTGGGGCATAGTGAAGCCGTCGCGAGGCTGTCAGCTGAAGCGCCAGCTAGACGCGCAGAACAAGTGGCGGTGCATGGCGATCTACTCACAGCCCCCCATGCAGCATCGGATGGCTAGCTTGCGTTCTCCGATCAGGCTGAGCCGTTTGCTGCATGTTGCGCTGCTGGGTAGTCCAAGCATTCCGCAGCTCGCAGGGCCTGCTGTTGGCAACGACACTGGCTAGGCCGTTTGGCTCTGGAATGGCCGGAGAAGTATGAAGTCCGTCGAGCGGCAAGTGTGGATTTATAACAGTGTCCAATCCGAAAAAAAGAGCGTCGCGATTTTCGATAGGGCGACAGGGACCATTACGTAAGTTGATCTAGCCGAGGAGCTTAGGTCAATAGAAGAGGGAGAATCAGGAAGTGCGGTTTACTTCGCGGAGGAATATTGCTACATGATGCACAACCGAAAAAGCTCGATTCCTCCGAATTGGTTCTCTCAGGTACAGGATAGTTTGACCTTACAAGGACTTTGCTCCAACAACGATGCATACCCGTGAATCGTCGAGCATTGATGACCCTCGTGCAGCGCCAACCGAAGCACCAGAGCATCTCCTTCTTCCCTTAATTGAAATACTGTCGCAATCAGGAAATGCCTTTTAGCCCCCTCCTCCCTCACCTGGTCGCACAGCTCGTCGTCTTGCTGTTTCTTTCTCCGTCTAAATCGGCTTAAAGCCATCCTGTTTCTTTCGAGGGGTTTCTCGCGCTTCGCGGCTCTTCTGTGTCTGCATCCGCGCTGGCCTTGCTGGCCTCGCTGATCTTCTATCCGTGAAGCGGCGCGTTCACTAGATGAGGGCGGATGCTGGCTAAGAAATGCCGTGTGAAACGAAGGCAAAAGCGCAGGATCGGGCGAGACAGCAAGGTTATCGACGGTGGGCTGGAGCTTCGGGTAAAGCGAGTCGATCTGGAGCGTGTCGTCTGTATAGCATCCCACGTGTCTGCTATTGTACGCGAAGCTTGCGTTTGGACGATGATCAACCTGGGGCGAGCTCGATGATGAGAAGGCATTATCGAACACCGTGTAAGGCTGGTAACTCCGGGCCGTCGTGTTGTCTGATACCGAAAGTCCACGTCTGACTCATGAGACCTAAACTATCGGTGTGATCGCACTCGGAAATGCTTCTTGTAGTGGTAATTGCACTCTCTAGAAGAGAACGGAGAGCTAGCACGTCTCCGATTGGAGTGTATGCTTTGAGAATAGATAGGGAACGAAGTTCGACGGACGCAAATTTGAGTGTTTTTTTAGTGGCTTAAAAGGTGCGAGGCCGAGGATGATAGATGAGTGAGAGTGGATCTGAAGGATTCTGAGCTAGGTTGGGTATGGTCGGAGATATAACGGGAGTAGAGTTATCCAAACTGTAGACGAGCGGGACAAGAGCCACGATTATTAACCGTCGACCTACTAGCGCCTACAAGAGGCAACGAAGGTGTGTCTGCGAAAAGTTCCTTTTTTTCTTACTCTAATGTGGCCATCGCTAACTCTTAGCAGGAACCGCACTATTCTTGCATGCTGCGGGTCTGCCAAGAAATGCAAAGGCTGATGGTGCAATGAAAGCGACCAAAGGCAGGGATACCTTTGTTCCAGCCCTGCTTCAGTGCACAGTTTCACCTGCAGGACGGGAAACAGGGTAGCAAGTTCCCGGTGCTTGTGCATTAGTTAGGACCCAGCACCTGCAGCCTGTGCCAAAGAGCGTATCGGGCTGTTTCGGCAGGTTTCCGCCCACAGACTAACAACCTCCGGAGTCCGACCCCGCAGTTGCGGTTTTGAGCATGGTGCACAAAGATGTCGCATGTGCCCTGGTCTAGCCCCTGTCACCGCCCTCCGTTACACCTCAAGCGATAGTGATTGCACGGCGCGACCTCCCATGCCTCCGTCCGCGCACGTCTTGCCCATTACGGGTTAACTTCCATTGCCGCACCGTCCCGTCCCATCCTAAGGGTTCACTAAAGAAGCCTTGAGCAGCAAGCGATTTGCCTTGATAGACCACCAAAAGTTCTGACTGCTTGTTGTTCCGCTACCATTGTTTGTTTACAGACGGCAAACGAGCGCAAGCTTTCCATCGTCCCTTCGTCTTGTTGCAGGTCGAACTACTTCTTGGATTATTTATCTAGAAGGACGCCTCTACGAGTCCTCGAAACGAATTACTACAAGGCTCGTCTCGCAAAGCACCTTTCAAGTCCGACATGGATGTAGAGGTGGATGTCCGGCACTCTTCCCTCTCGACTGTTCTTCCAAAATTGATGGATTGGTGATAGACCTCCGATAGCCACGATTCCGCCTACGGAGAGGATGACTCGTAAGCTGGCGTTCAGCAGACTGACTTGGCTTACGACGCAGGATGGCTAACTGCGAACAAATGCAAAACAGTAACCAGTCCCTAACGGCTTCGATCACCTCGTCGATATATCAATATCGGGCAGAGAACGGACGTACTTATCATGCACACAAGGACGGACGTATGTAGGTTCTGCGTGGATCCAATATCGCCTACTTTCTAATCCGAACCTTGTGTCACAGAATATCCATATCCGAACGACGACCGGGAGCAAGACCGCTTAGGTACAAACAGGCCCAGCATTTCCACGTGGAGGTGGATTAACGAACACTAGATCTGCAACATCACCTGTTTCTCATATCGATGAACGGCAAGCTGTACCTTGCGCCCATCACAGAGCAACCCCAGGATGTGCTTGACATTGGCACTGGAACTGGGCTTTGGGCCATAGACTTCGGTGGGTCGCATCACATGCATTGGTTCTATCGAGCCTCGAATGACTCAAACACAGCCGACGAACACCCTTCTGCGCGGGTCCTAGGCACCGACCTCAGCCCGATTCAGCCCACCGAGTCCGCTAAGTTTCAGCAGAAGGCCCCTCTCTGCGCCGCCCGCACGTGTTGGTAAACAACTGACAAGACTCTAGCGTCCCCCCAAACCTGTCGTTCGAAGTCGACGACGCGAACGAGCCATGGACATACTCTCACAAGTTCGACTTTATACACTGCCGCCAGCATCACTGCGCTATCAACGAGAAGCCCATGTTCGTGCAGGCAATGGAGTAAGCGAAGATACAAAGACCAATCCTTAGTGGCTCTCTCGGGACTAACCCGTCGGGGCCGCAAACGGCTCAAAATAGATTCCTTCAACCTGGCGGCTGGCTCGAAATGCAAGAACTCGCCTTCCCGATCGGCTGCGACGACGGCACTGTGCTCCCCAATTCAGCTCTTTTCAAATGGTCGGATCTCATGCTCAAGGCCTCGCGCATCCCGGGCCAGGACCTCGATAACGCCTCCCATTATGAAGAATGGATGAAGGAAGCGGGCTTTGAGGATGTCCATGCGACAATGTACAAGTGGCCCGGGAACAACTGGCCACAGGACAAGACAGAGAAAACCCGCGGCCTGTGGATGATGACGAACCATCTGGATGGGCTGCAAGGCTTCACTGTGGGCCTCTTTACCCGGGTGTATGGATGGAGCCCAGAGGAGGTGGAAGTGTTCCTTGCAGCTGTCAGAAAGGACATCAAGAGTAAGAACATGCATGCGTGGTGGCCCGTGTGAGTCGTTTGTTGCTGCTTTAAATGGCATGAGCGTAAGGAAATAATGAATGATGCAGCTATATCGTCTACGGCCAGAAGCCGAAGGCTTCCGCCGACTCTGAAGCCTGAGCAGGTGCTGCCAATCACTGCTGCTGCTCTTGCGGTCTTCCCCCACGAGCATCATGAGCAAGAGGATACACGAAATGATTAGAGTGTTGGCAATTGCGGTGATCACGACAGCGTCATCTCTTTCGGTTCATAGGTTGAAAAGCAAAGCTGCAGGGTGTTCTGCAAGGCAGTGTGGAGACCACTCTGATATCACTGTTCATACCTGGCGAAAATTAGAAGGACCTGGAATTTCCATCTACTATACCATCATATTCGTACATCAAACCGCAACTACGACAAACTTCACCCTCCTTGCCGACGAACCATGACCCACGCTTCAATCATCCTTCAACACAACCCTTATGCCCTCTGATTCAATCTTTGGATATGGAACGAATAGATCATACTTGAACTCCACGTCCTCGGTTGATGTGTCAAACAACTCCATCCTTGAACCTTGATTTCCGGGGCCCGCATATTTCCGAAATACGGCAAAGAGGCACAGGTACAGCTCCGCGTACGCGAGATTCATACCCAAGCACTGCCGCGACCCTTTCGAAAACGACCACAGATATCTGTCAAGACTCTGACCGTCCTCCAACCAACGTTCCGGGTGGAACCGGAGCGGGTCGGGGAAGATTGAAGGGTCGAGATGATAGAGCGGCCCGGTTGTCGAGATAGGTGTCCCCGAGGGAATCTCCCACACCTTACCATCTGTTTCGTATCTGACGGTTTCATCGGGACAGGTGCGCACCAAACGAGACGTGACGCCGAAGGACAGCCGGAGGCCTTCCTGGATGACGGCGGTCAAGTAGGGTAGCTTTTCCAGCTGCTTCCACGCCACGGACTTCTCGGTGATGGTGAAAAGCTCGGTTCTTAAGGTTCTCAGTATTTCGGGGTTGGCCAGTAGGTAAAATGTGATGACCGCGAGCGTCCACGCTGTAGTCTCAGTGCCTGCAACGCTTACAATCTCCGCCTCCTGCCACAGCCGATCGACCGTCTTCTCCGACACGGGGATGTTGCTGTTGAGGATCTCGTGGAAAACGGTCCTGTGTGCGAGTTTCTCGTAGAAATCGCTCTTCCCCTTCACCTCCCGGATACGCTCTTTCATTTCCTCCTGGAAGACGAAGAACTCGCGCATGCCGGGGTTCAGCTTAGTGACAAGCCAAGGCGGCACTGAGTTCAGGACTGGTAACAGCCGCTTGAAGTATCGCGCCATCGCTCCCATCTCGTGCACTCCAACCATCATGTTGAAGAACTTCTTGTTTAGGTCTGGCATGTCCAGGTAGTGGTTCGGCTTGGCAAAGGCATACTCGGTGATGATGTCGGCGGTAAACGCGCTGTATAGCAATGAGACGGTCAGAGGACGCCCCGTCTGCTGGTACTCGCGCATCCGCGCGAACATTTGCTGCAGCATGGTCTGAATGATTGGTTCGACTCGTCGTACGTTCTCCTTTGAGAAGAACCGACCCATCGCTCCGCGCCGCATCCGATGCATATCATGATCCACCGTTGCAATGGCGGCTTGCGGCGCTCCGAAGACCCTCGTGGCAACCTCATACTTTTCGCGGCGCTTGCCACTGCTGGTCGTGAATACCGACGACAGGAGGTGGTCGCTGTCATAAATGTGGATCTCATCGGGATTGATTCGGACTATTGGACCTTGGTTGGAATGAGCAGCAGCAAAGCCTGATAGATTTGAATGTAGTCACCGTATCGTGAGTGCCATTCCCGGAGCTTGAACACAAACTGGCCCCTTCTCACCACGTCGTAATAAAACTCGCACAAATGCGTTGCTGCAGCGAGCTTCGGGCCGGGATATGCTGCAAGTGGGCTGAGATGCAAGCGATAGAACAAGACAAGCAGCATGTAAGAAAGAAGGCAGACGCCGGCGGCAAGGATGACGTGGCCTGGAGAGGGAGATGGAAAGTCTCTGAGCGATTTGACGCTCATCGTTGACGACTGATCCCTGAATATCAGCACATAGGCCCTTGATGCGTACCCGGCCACAGGAAACCAAGTAATGCAGCGCAAGGTGAATAAACTTAGCCGCAACTTACCAGTCCTTTGCAGAAGGACGTGTAAGTCCGTGGCAGCAAGCTTGAAAACCGATGCACAATAGACTTCCGCTTCCGCGGATGGATAGAATAGCCTTGCAGAGAGTGTGCGTGTGTGTGTGAGAACGGCCTTATCCAAAATCAAAATCCTCCAGGAGGCTCGACTTCTTGCCTTTCCGTCAGCGGGACACGTTGTGTTGCTAGCCGAGGTTTCCCGAACCTAGTCCGCCCGCTAAGACGGCAAACAAAGCATGCCAGCTCTCATGTTTCGTGTTTCGCTGCCCCTGAAATGCTTGCTTCGTGTTTCGCTGCTCCTGAAATGCTTGTGTCGAGTTGTCTTTGAGCTCTTGTAGCCAAGGCTGGCCTCTGCACAATCCAAAATGGCTTGTTGTCGTTTGGGATTGTTGAGAATCATCAACCAGAAAGGTGGTGGGTGGCATCCAGTATATAGCCAGCCTCTGCTCACGGAATAGCCATCATTGAAGCTCTTAGCCACCCAACTTTACTGAGGACAGGAAGAGGTCGGGTGCTATGCTGGCCGCCAAGTTCGCAGTTCGTCATCATCCGACTAGTGGTTGCATGGGTTGGACTTCCCACACTGAATTTCCAAGATCAGAGTGCACCCGCGCTACAAGTTGTGATCGATTGATTTGGCTAAAATGACTGGAGAGTCCAACAATTTGTGGTCCGACGAATTTGACTCCGTTTCTGGTCATACTCTGGTCAATCTCTGGTCATTTCCTGATCAGTTTTTGGTAGAATTTTGGTCAGCCTTTGGTCAGCTTTTGGTTGTTCAGTGGTCTGCCCTTAGTCAGTTTAGTCACTTGTTCGTCTAGCTATTCATGCTTTAGCGGCTTCTAAACTATCATGTCAAGGCCGTCCGATGCTAGGCCTTAGGTAGTACACCGAGTGGAAAGCGAGATAGGGCGTGATTAGCTGCCTCGGCCACGCAAAATGCAAGAACAGCATAGGCGTGTGGGGCGCTTACAGTCACCGTAGCGGCGGTCAAAGTAGCTGGATCCAGTTTGCTTTCCATGCATGAATGACCGCCAAGGTCAGATCACCAACCTGGTGCCGAGGAGTTGCGGCCACGTGCCGCAGGTGCGGTTCTGCACCGGGGAAGTGCTTGACTTCCCCCGCCGGAAACCAACTCATGTTTTGGTTCTGGCTTGCAGGTCATAGCGTGCCCCAAATGTCAATGAACATGCGGAGCCAGTAGATTGATTTGACCGTCATCAAGCCCAAAACTCGTCTGCCTTCTGTTCTCGAGTTCGCTTCTGTTTTCTCACTACGCAGCTTAGGGTGGGTATTGAAAGTCCCATGCGGCGGGGTCCGTTTCATCTCTTACATTGGAAGCAAAAGTAAGAGGTCTTCGGAAGACGGTGCATGGGGGCGTCGGTCTACGGGCAGCTAACCACAAGCCAGCTTTTGCAAGATTTTTCCAACAGCCCCTAGCTCTACAGCTGCAATATGTCTTCTCCGCTTCCAGCGTGTCGTGCCGCTATAGATTTAGAAGTATCAAAACGCTCCACGTCCCACTATGATGTGAAAGGATCGCCAATGACTCTGCACTCAAAAGATCACATAAGGCCAAGTCGCGCAGGTGGCAGCGAGCCAGTGGAAGCGAAGAGCTAGGAAGGATAAGGTCGCTATTGCACGAATGTAGCATTGGCTTCTCTCAGCCACCGACGAAACCCATTGGCATGCTAGCGAGTGTCTAATGCATGGGGATAGTGTACCCCATACCCATGGATCGTGTCGAAGTGTGTTGCTTGCAGGAGAACCGGAGGAAGGCTGCCTTCGCATATATGAGTCGAGCTGATGCCGCTAGGGTCAATGTGTTTCGTGCAGCATACCGCCATTACTCGCCGATATCTGAAATACATCGAAAAGTCCAAGTGTATGAATTCTTATGATTGACATTTTAATATGCTAAGTTACCGAGACTAGTCACTTCTTACATATTACGATATGGCCGCCCTCCAAGGGATACATCTTGCTTCAACTCCTACCACGGTCCCCGACTGCCGCAGGTGTCACAGGCCCGGCAGCTCGCTGACTACACGAAGCTCGAACCGCAATGGGAATGCCGGGCGTCCTTACTACAAATGCATTCCTTGCGACAAGTTTCTACGCTTTGACGACACTCGTGGCAACGATAGGAGAAATCCACCGTGCTACTGCGGAGAATCCTGTAGGATGCAGGTTTCAGGGCTAGGCAGACAGGTTGCAAGAGGATTGCACTATGTGTGCAGGTCGGGAGCATGCGACTACTATGACATACGACGGAACGCTCACCAGCGCCAGATCACGTTGGATGAAGAGTTGGTGGATTTACTGGCAGGGCTTCGTGTAATCTGACCATCCAGCATGGAACAATCAAAGGCATGTTGTTCAAAACAACTGAACCCTTTCCGCGCCGTTCCATCCTTTCAATATTCCACTCATTCACGTAGTCTGACTTCTTTGACTTCTCGCCGTGTCAAGTAGCTACAGCCGTTGACTAACCTTCTTACAAAGGTCTTTCGCGAAAGGCCCGCATTGTGCCACAAAACCTCCAAATTCTGTGAATTGCATCAAACACTTCAAATTGCCAGCTGCGTAATGTGCGACGACCTCGCGTAGTGCTTCCTCATTCTGTTGCAGTTCTGGCGTATTCTCATACGTGTATCGTACTAGGTGCACGATGTCCCCGATACGTTGTGGGTAGCATCTGAACTGGCGTAAAGCGTCGTAAAGATTACGGGCTGCCATCGATTTCAACCTTTGAATGTGGTACTGCTCCGAAAACACGTACAACTGGGCATGACAGAGAAACACACGCGTATAATCTTCGTTTGGCCGAACGTTGCGCTTAGCTTCTGAGTCCGTGTGGAATGGCACCACCTTGGGAACAGAGAACCTTAGGGCAGGAAGCGCTGGCGCCTCGAGCTTCGCTTTTTTCTTTGCGACGCCAAAGCCCCCCAAATATGTCCTCATCAGCTTTTTGAGAAACAGGCAGAGCGTCGGCTGTTGGCGTCATAACTCCCGCTACCGGTGTTTCATCCACATTTGGCGAGCCGTCGAACACGGTTTACCATTCATTTGCGGATCTGCCGCAGTGTAATTGCCCGAGTAGATGTACTCTACAAATCGAGCGAAAGTGTCCTCGTCCAGATGTCCCAGGAAAGCCGACCGATCTTCTGATTCCCGCATTCCTCCAACCATCAAGGCATGAAGGGCATCGGAATGGCGAGAGACGAGTCTGGTATGCAGTGAAAACTGTGTTTTCCCGTGGTCAACTTTGAAGCGGAAGATATCAGAGCAAAACACTCTTGAATGGTCACTACATTAGTCTAGTGCGGATCATGAAGGGGGTAGCGACACCTACTCTTTGTTCATGGCTGACATTGTGTGCCGTGTAAGAGCGAATACTGTTTGAACCCGAGCGGTTAGTGTTTTGATGAAAGAAAGCCTCGTGTGTCTGAGATTGTTCTAGGGAGACGAAGAGTGCTTCACAACGAAGCGACAGACGGCCGCAAGCAGTTCTACTGCATGCCAACAAGTCAGCCAGACTTTCCGCTCGACAATCAGCGGGCGGTAAGCGGGAAACCTTAGATCGGCGCTAGTCCGGTCACCCGCCTGCCGCCCTTCCCCTGTCATGCCGTAGCGGCCGCATTTGGTTAATTCAACTGTGCGTTGCCACTGCCACGTTTGCCGCCTCTGAGCAATACAATCTGGCGGGAGCGGGGGAGTAGCTTTTGGCTGCTGAAGGATGGAGTCCTGCATGGCCGCCCGCAAGCTGGCGATCTGTGAAGTCTGACCCCGCAGTTGCAGTTTTGAGTATGGTGCATGAAGCACAAAAAATCCCGCTGAAACTTCTTCCTTTCTCCAATCTCAGCGAATCTCTTCGTCCCGTAACTCAGGGTGTCTGGAAGTACATGCTGCGAAAGCTGGTGCATCTTCACCCGCAGTTGCAGCTCTGACTGGCGCCGCTGGAAACAAGGCTTTGACTTCAACATGATCCGCTGCAGACTTGCGGTCAGCGGGACTCGTGTCTATCGATTGGTGGTGATATTGCAGAGGAGCTTCGTGAATGCGCATGGCGTAGCTGCAATGCAAGGTACGATTTACAATCCAGCGGGTTGTGGTCCCCACGGCTCTTTGAACATCACCACGATAAGCGTGTAATTTCCCACTACTCGGATCTCTCGGTGCTCAGAGACCCTCTCGAGTTCTGGGAGGGTTTTCAGACTTGTGTCCTTCACTTATGGCTGTCGAACCTCCCTCCACTGGCCGCTCTCTTAACACGTCTTCCTTGGAGGCACTTCAAGATGCGGATCAACGGAAGATTATGGACACTGTTGGCAAGCTAAGGCGAATCGGACTCACTAGTGTTCTGCAGCTTCCGCAACTGATCGTATGTGGAGATCAATCGTCAGGAAAGAGCTCTGTGCTTGAGGCCATCACGCAGATTCCGTTCCCACGAAAAGAGAACCTATGCACACGCTTCGCAACCGAAATCGTCCTGCGACGTGGGAACACGACATCGGTAAAGACGAAGATAACACCTGACAGCCGCAGACCCACACACGAACAGGACGAGCTGGAGAAGTTCAATGCGTCGATCGAAGATTTCAGCGAAGTGCCCAGCTTGATACTGGAGGCCGCTAGGCTGATGGGCTTGGATGGAGCCACCACGGGAAGCACAAAAGCATTCTCCCGGGACGTGCTCAGCATTGAGATCTGCGGCCCGGACAGACCCCAACTGTATGTCTCCGTTTCCTCTCTTCTAGTCAGTGACTCGCCCTGGTTGGCCGTCGCTAGCGATACTCGCTCCAGCTATGGTCGATAATTCGGGAGGTGGCACATATACACCCTCCGTCTAAAGGAGGTGCTGAGGCGAGTCCGGAAACTCCCAGGAGCGCACACATTGCCTTAGCCAGCGATAGCCACAGCCTCTCGAAGCATGCGGATAGCCAAAGCCGACACAAAGCTCTCTCCAGCTTCCTCGGTTCTCCAACCAGCGTAGCAGCCACAATGCGTGCTGTCACTATAACGCAGCAGGGCTGAGGTTAGCATCATATTACTAGTTAAATCCATCTATATCCGCGGCGAACGATACCGAAAATGCAGACACGCGGCATTCAAACAGCCTAACGCGCATCACAACACCGCTCACTTCCCTTTGGGGCTGCGAAACACAGAAACAACAGACTCAAACACGTTATACGCGCTCGATCGACCCGACGAACGCGCTGAACACAGATGCGAGAAGCCGGCCCCGCTTTCCTCATGCAACCCACACTGCAAACTGGGGCTGACCGCTACAAAACACTCCACAGCCACTCGCTCGGAGGTCGAAACACGAAACTTTAGGGATCGGCGCTCGAAAGAAGCCCGAGGACAGCCAGTCATCGCGCCCGGCACGCCAGATACCTAGTCTCACGGTCGCGCGATAGTCGTGTTTCCTTCGAAAATCCGTCCGCTTTCTCTCATGGTCGTGTTTTGTCGAGCTGCGATCGTTCTCTTCAGGCGTCTCTTGACGCATACCTGGATCTCACGTGTCTGTGATACCCAGTGACAGTGTAGGTCCTGTAAATATTCGCAGAAGGCCGGCACGATGCCTGATTTACCTGAGCTTTTCTTTTCCTCACCGCGATCGGGTCCTAGTCTGCACTCCATCTGTTTTCTATGCAATTCATGATAAAACATCACGAATGGTGGGCAGTCCACATCCAGCGTTGAGACGTGCGCCCTCTGGCGGTAGCCATGCGAGTCAGTCGAGCCAGGCGAGCCAGTCGTCAAGGTTGCTGTCTGGAGAGATCCCAAGTCCCATTACGACCGGCCGTCCATGTAAGATGCAGAGCGTTGAAATCTTCTCGAGCGAACGAGGAGCGCATTCGCAGGATACCAATCTGACAATGCCATTGCAGCACCGTCTCGCTCACAGGGCTCAGTATGCAGCCTCATCCACTCCACAAGCTCGGCGTTCTTGAGGTTCTGGCTGTCCGAGGACAGTCGCGACGCTTTCTTGTCATCTATTGAGAAAGAAGACCTCCGGAACCTCCATCTCGTTTGCCATGACTTTGCGATGCGCGCAACTCCGTCAATGTTCGAGGAGATCAGCATCACCTTCAAGCCCAGCACCTTCACCAAACCGGCTCGTATGGCTGCGCTGGACCGGATAGGGCATCACGTGCGGACCGTCTCGTTCAACATGCTTCACACACCGGAGACCTTCCTGCCTCCTCTGGTCGATCCTATGACCGGCGCGGAGCAGGCTTTCGTGTATAGCCCGCAAGCACACAGACCATCGACTCTTATCGGCCAGGTAAAGGAACCCAAGTATGGCTCGTGGGAGATGACAGATCTACTGATCAAACAGTATCCACCACTGTTCCATGCTGCAACCAACATCCCCTCGTTCATCCACGCTTTCTCACTGTTACCATGCCTGGCACATTTCAAAGTTAGCTGCCCAGGACAAGACGATTGTCAACGATATCGACGCAGCGCCATCGACTACGCCTTGAGATCCCTCCGGATCGCCGTCGAAACGGCGCCGTTGGAGGTCCTCGACACGATTTCCCTTCTACCTATCCACCCTGGGGCCCTCCTTTATCTCCAGCCACTGCTCGGCTTCGGCAATTCACCGCGCGCATCCCGCCGATGGGCGCAGATCCGGAGATTAATCATCCAAATGGATGGCTTTCCTTTCGAGCAGTCAAACCGGTCCGAACATCTGAAAATCCTCCATTCATACCTTGGGTACTTCTCGCCACATCTGACCCGTCTTCGCTTCCGCTGGGAAGGCGACAAGGGCCCTTCGCCCTTCACCCTCGACCAGGAACCATGCCTGCAGCCATCTGACTCCCCGTCCGAGAAACCGGGTCTCCGTCCACTGAACTTTGCCCGACTGCGCTACATGGAGCTCGAGAACGCAACCATGGACTCGACCCAAGTTAGCGCATTCATCTCTCGCCACCGGCGCGCGTTCTCAGAGTTCAACTTCGAAGACGTCACGCTGCGCACTGGCACCTGGGGTGATGCCCTCGCTCCACTGTCGCGCATCGCCGGGAACGACAGCCGGAAGCAGAAGCAACAGCAGGTCATGGACGTGCCTGTCGTCCTCAGCCCCGCCAACCTCGAGCCGCGCGTCATGGAGTCCATCCTTCAGGACCAGCAGAGAGCTGAGTGCTCCGGAACGCAGCTGGCTATGAGTCGCTGGCTGTCCAAGGGCCGTTCGGCTGTAGCGGCAAACAAAGGGAAGGAGCTGTTCTGGAGCAGCGGAGAGCATATGAAGGAGTTTTTGATGACCTCGGTCTTCCCGTGGCGCTGATCTGCGCCGGTCACTGATGTTCGGGTGTTTCAAGAGGATATGGGTGTGGGGATGGCTTTTATAATATCCCACCCTGCTTGTCAATATTACTGGATGGCGCTGCATGGCGTATGAGTTGGTCGAGCTCCGGCTTTCCCCCGATGAACTTCGAGGTTAGCGACGGGTTCTCTTTCGTCTTCGGTTTTGACGTCTACTACTTTGATGAATGAGTTCGACGAGCTTTTTGATGGGCAATGAGCGCCACGACATTTTTTGGGGTCATAAGGGCGTGATGATGCCTTGCATAGCTTTTCCATCACCAGAGTATTATACACAAGCATCAGCCGAGTCTCTCGAAACAACAGAGAAAATTGGCAGCGATAGCGTAGCGTAGAGCTTCCATCAGATGCTGAAAGTGGATGAGCTGCGATGCTCACTCCGTCTAACGAGATCAGCGATCTGCGCAAGCATATAAAGCGGCAGAACATTTTGAAGAGTCTTCCATCGGCTGCATGCCACCTAGCTGGCATCCGCCTCAGAGCGATGACATGGTGCAGGATGCAAGAAAAGGGTGCGCCCTACCTCCACACGCCTCCGTATCTTGACTTTGTGATCCTATGCTGTTTGGTGACCTCTTTCCAACAATTGGTGCGACTGTCGTGGCTAGCAGTCCCATGATAAAGCCGCAATTTTCGATACGCATGTGGTACGTGTAGGCGCTGAACATCCCGTGGCAATGGATGGTGGAGATTTTAGTGGCTTTACGGGTGCGAGCCATGTCGACCGGAAGGTAGGGTGGATGGGGTATCTTATGCGGTCTTGATGGAGGCGCACGCCCCACTCCCCGCGTGATTCCCGGGACACTAAAACCACCGAGAACTCAATCCTTGACGGCTGTGATCACCCACTCAACATGTGCATTCGCAGAGTTATTCTACAAAGTGATAGAACAGATGCAGCGCTTTAATATCCGAGTGAGAATATAAATTAGATACTCGATGTCACCAGGAAGCGACCAGCCGGTCGCCACCAAAACTGCAACTGTTGCAAGCCATGCGACAACCTACGCAGTAGATAAAATAATTCAATCAATCATTAACTGCCTCCGAAGTCAAATCAATCAGTCAAGTCAAGGAGGGAGACCTTCCGGTCTCAGGAGGTGTAGGAATCAATCAATCAATCAATCAATCAGCCGAATCGAATCGAGGGGAATCCGACCGAATCGAAGAGTAGAACCAGGACTGCCGCCAGGGCCAAACTACCAGCAAAAGAAAGCGCACATCGAGGAGAGCATTCAACTTCAATCTCAAGGCGTGCAGCGCCTCAGCGGGACCATCAGGGACGGCCCTAAAATCACCACTTTCCGTCATCCCCTTTAAACCGATTTTCAACCTCTTGGCTCGTGCATCGCTTTGGCCCGTGCAGGATGACAGACACGGAACCCCTAACACCCCGGGCCCGACGCAATTCCAGCCCGGCGTCGCCTCAGGCACCAACAGTCACTCGAATACGAGCAACCGACAAAGAGAGGATTCCACTAGCAGCTACCACGCGCGCCCGCCGCCGAGCACAGCAAGCTGCTGACGGAATACCCAACGAAGTTAGAGCTGCTACACAAGAAGACGCGTCCTTACGGGGAACTCAGTCCACCCAACCCCTTGGAACAAAAGCCACTCAACCCCTACCTGTGAACGCCAATAACACTATCACCACTGCTGCCGAAATCCCCTACCTCATCAGCCAGTTAAGAGACGAGATCCTCCAACAGAAACAGAGCATTGAGACACTCAAGCAGGGTCAGGAGACTGCTAAGAAAGAGCGTGAGGTTTTGATCAACCAAAACAAAACCCTCCAGCAACAGGTCACAGAGCTTACAGAGCTGGTCCGGGAGCTTACTCACACCCCAGGAGCATTAGCAGCAGCAAGACCCCCTGGGTCCACGCCCTCGAGGATCAGCTGGGCCGCGGTGGCTGCAAGAGGATCTACCACACAACCCCAGCCACAGACATACAACACGCAGTCTGGAAATGGACCGAACACGCTACGGATCAACACCTCGCTACTGCCCAATACTCCAACGACTGCAGCCGGAGCATTTACAAGATACATGCAAACAGACAAGGCAGTTGAAAGCATTTCCCAAGCCCTTAAAAGTCACTCCACAACCAAGGAATGCGAAGTCTTAGGAGCTGGCACCACAAGACTTGGGTATCTGATCCGCTTCAAGAACGAAAGATCCAAGGAACTAGCAAAAAGGAACGCGGAATGGACCCAGGAGCTAGGACAGGGAACCCGAGTAGTCAAGCCACGCTTTGGGGTAGTAGTCCACCGTACGCCGACCAACGAAGTTAACATGGAAGCAAAAGAAGAGGCGGTTCAGAAGATTGCACAAGAGAACAGCCTCCCCAGCAGAGGGAGCCAAATCGAAGAGATCACATGGCTCAAAAAGAAAGACTCGCCTCTAGGGCACTCGGCCTCCCTTGGAATCTGGTTTGACACGGCAGAGGCAGCCGAACAAGCTGTTCATCTTCACCAGCGACTGTTCCAATCTCCCATCAACTATACTTTTGGCACTTTGCTCACGGAATCAGCACTTCGGCCTTGGGGATCGTCGCCTTCTGCTACTGCTTAATACGACTGAGGGACTGATAGGGACGAAGGTGACTACAGAGGCATTGGAGGAGCTGTTCGTGAGGGGGGAAGTTTTCATAGAACGGCCAGCTGGCATTGCTTGCAACTACCGATTGGGCATAACTAGTCAGCAGGAGTCAATTGACACGCATACCATCTTCAATCGCTTGACCGATCAGCCTTCCGACAATGATTAATCTTGGTACACGTTCAGCCAGTATTAAGTGCCATACGCATCTTAATATCTAATATTGTATCATAGCATGCTTATGGTCAGTAGATCCATTGAGTAACCCGAAACCGGGGATCGTTTTCGCAGTCGCTTGTGACTATTTAGATAGGTAGTTAAAGTCAGAATGCCTCAATATTGGGGGGCGGTGGCTGGCTCAAGGGAAAGAATGCGTCCGGTTGATGGAAATGGCCCGTAGACTGAATGGAGAACACTGATCTCAGCCAGAAGCATTAGACGGCAGTTTCTATCCTATCTGCACCGCTTTCTTTTTTCAAAGTAACCGTGCTTCAATTTCTCGGCATTCGTTTCTCTGTATATATAAGATCTCGGAATGAACGCGAACAGCTGTCCATAGGTCTCGAATGGCATGTTAGTCTCTGTGTCGGATGAACACTTCTTTACAGCAACACCCTCCCTCCATCAGAGTTTGCGAGCGAGGGGAGAGCGAAATCGTTTCCGGTCAGAGCGTGAAGACCAATCCCTCTCCGCCCGCTACTTCTCCCCTGCACAGTCTCATCCATGTCCCTTCGACTCCACCATCTCCCCTCAGTCCAGTCTGCCGCTTCAATGCTATCCCTAACACTTGCCCTTCCCTCTGCGTCCCCTTGTTCCTCTTCAACTCGCTGTTCACCACCCTCTCAAACTCGGCCAGCATCTCAGCGAAGTACCGAGCATCGCCCACAAGCTCCATGGCCTTGTCTTTGACCCCAGAAGCGTTGAATTGGATGCTCTCAAGCCGTCCAGCTCTCTCCATTCTCTCTTCCATTGAAGCCGCTGAGTACACTTTCGCTTCGCCTCCAACCCCGAGTACTTCCACCTGGGCATTGCTCTGTAGACTCAGCTCTTTCAGCCTTAAGGCGAGCTTCTCTAGTATGTTGTCTCGGCTCCCGAAATCGATGATGATGATTCTCCTCACTTGCTGGCGCGCTAAGCAAGCTAGGCTGTCCTCCGATACAATGTCCGCATACGTGGTGACTCTATACGGAAAGGGGACCTTCAAGCCATCGAGCGCGCTCACGCCCTCCGAGCTGACTTCCACAAGTAGCTTTGGACCACTCCCGGCTGCGCGGTTAGTTGCAGCCTGCTGCGCGAACGACCGCCCAGTCTTTGACGACGCGCCGAGACTGATGAGTATCGCAGACCTGATGTCCGCGTCCTGCGCAGACCACGGAAGCCCAGACTCAGAGAAAGGATGAACAGGAGGATCGGCCGGAGAGGATTGGTACACGAAGCGGTTCAGCAGGTAGCCGGCTTCCCATATGGGTCGGAGTAGGGATGTCCAGGCCCGCGTGAGGTCGAACTGGGCCGATGCCTCGCCCTCAGGTACCGCTAAATATCGGTTATACAGAGACATCAAAGTCTGACGATGTGCGCTGGTCTCGAGCCAATGGCCAGGCGTACCTGGCGCTTTCTTGAGTTGGAGGTCTACCGGGAAGGTCGAGAGCGGAAATAAGCCCCAGAGAAGGGCGCCAGACGCAATCTCCGAAACGTCACTTTCCAGGACCGTTGCATAGCCCCAGGCGGGTGAGATGCCGTACGTTTGGCGGTCGTTGTATGGTGCTGAGGCGAAGCTTGGAACGGGGTACGTATCCCACCAATGGAGTACCCTACCGAGCGCGCAGTACGCGAGGTTGTTCGAGGTGAGAGAGACCAAGGTGGTACGGACTCGGACAGAAGATTGGGCAAGGGAGTCAAGGTCTGCTTCGACGACTTCGAGAAAATATTGATGGTCATAGTCGGTTTTGGAAAGCACACGCATAATGGAAGTAGTAGAAGCCATGATAGCGTAGTTCAACTCACCAAGACCTACCTATTTCCTGGAAAGTTCGTGGTGTACCTTGGCTAATGGGGGTCATTACTTCAAGTATTTCTCTCGTTTCGATTACAAATCCATGAGCGGCCGGACTTTACTTATCCGCGAGTCTTACGAGTTATTTTGTAATCTGAACATGGACCAGCGTATCACGTTCTCGGCCGTAAATCCGAACCGGCAAGCCACCCGCGAGTGCCAAGAACAAAATTAGCCAACGACCGAGCGTCCTAGGATATATGAGTTGAGTTGAGTTCATTTACCCTGACCGATCGCCCTGAGCGATATGCAGGCTTTATTGATTGATTGATTCTGTCAGGCTACAAAGTCTTCTATGGAGACTTAAGAGCCATCCTAAGCCAGTTGCCTGCCTTTCATCCCGCTTTGCCTTGTCTCACCAGCTAGCCCTTAGCTTTCAGTTCTCTAGAGGAGTATTCTGTAACCCCTCCGTCTCGGTCCCTTGCCTAGATAGCCTAGTGGTGTGCTTGAGGAATTATACCACAGCCTTCACCACCTTGATATCTGGCTTCCAGCGCTCCCTTGGCCCATCTACTGGTTTCCCAGTACGCCAATCTTCCCTTCTGCTCCATCCACCCAGCATAAACGAAACATCCCCCCCTCTATCCCCCACCGTCCGTGCCAGTCCTCTCCTTGCTTCCTGCCACCGTGGACACATAAGGAGGACATGCTGCACTGTTTCCTCGCCTAGGCCACAGCTGCAGTCTGGCGAGTCTTCCTTTCCTATGCGGTGCAGGTAGGAGCGTAGGACGGAGTGGTTGGTACGGCACTGGATAAGGATGGCCGCCTCTTCTGAGCTTAATGCTCCGTAGAGCTGTAATGTGTGCCTTCCAGGCAAGGCTCCATCCAGCTTCCAGGTGTACTTGTCCCACGGTCCTACCACCTTCCTGGCATCCTCTCCTTCTCCTTGGACTTTCTTCCGCATCAGGCCTACTGCACTAGCCTGACATCTCCGTCTCTTGGCTCTCTGCATGGAGAGCCGACGCCCTTTCTCGGTCATCTTACGGGCCGCTTTGTCGGCAGCATCGTTGCCTTGAACACCGCTGTGGGCTGGGACCCACACGAGTTCGATTTCTAGCCCCTTGCTCTTGACCTCCCGCATGATGTTCCTTGCTCTTGTGACAAGGTACTGTCCGGGGCCGCTGTATCCTGCCTGGCTTAGGTAGCTGAGCGCTCGCTGGCTATCGGTGACAACATAGCCTCGCCCTCTACCCTCACGCAGGCCCTACTCTCGATGATCTATGTAATGCGAAGAACTCTCCGAATTCGGAGGCGTTGGTAAGCCGATTTTTGAGTCTTTTGTACGTTGCGTATATGCCTTATCTCCCTCTGCTTTTCCGGCCACGCTCGGCCAATATGGACCTTTTGAAGTCCCCACCCGCCGGCTACTCAACCAAGGGATGCTACTGCTAGATCCCGGTCATTGTGGTTTCAGGTTTATTTTGAGACTACTTTGAAGTTGCAATATTGTGCAGCTTCATTTTGAGCGACCTCCTCACTTCCATAACACAAAACATCGGATTGCGACAAATTTGCGTTGTTACGCATTATAATGGTTTACATTGTCAAGTGTATGTACAGTATCTCTGTCCTAGATGATATGCATCTTAATTCTAGACGCGTTGTAGATGCGCGCTGTGTAGGTGGGATGTAACTGCTGGTTTCTGCTCCACTCCCGAATATCGCTGGGGCCCACTGGCGAGTCTTCTCCCATGTCAAGCACCCACGGGCGGGGAAAGGGTCGGATACAAGAGAATGCATCTCATGTTCTCGTTGTGGGCTGTATCTTTAGTCCTTTATCCAGCCCGTCATTCTCGTGAAATGGGACACCTTGTCTCTACTACTTGACAAGGGACCCCACTTCCAAAGTTGTTTCGGCGTGTAGTGGGGTCGAGGTCGATGCCTTGGAAGGTCGAAGCTAGGCTCGGCTTGTGTCTGCGACCGTATTTGTGGTTGCTGCTGCGGAGTGACATCGCACGATTTGATGAATCGCTGCTTCGGAGGAGTGCCGCTTGGTTTTATGGTTTGCCGACTTGCGTAGTCCTTACTTGGCTTGGGCTCTTGCCCTCGCCGCTTCGAAGAATCAGACGCCAGATCTATGGCACTGTCGACTGTGCTACCCCAAGCATCAGCGCCACCTCTTGCATTGAGGTCTTCGCCTGATAGCCGTTGGGTATCGCCAGTCGGCGTTGTTATGTCTCCGCCCCGAGCTTGAGCCTGACCCACTCGATTCAGGGTGTCCGTGTGTGTACCGGGACCAAGATGGTCTTCCTGTCGTTCGCCACCCTCCCTGTCGCCTCCAACAGCTGCACCGGTTCCCGTGGTGCTCACGGATATCTTCCTCTTGTACAAATCCCGCAACTCCCCCAGCAGTCTTGCTTCCTTGAACGGGATACCGCATAACGGATTTCCAAGGATTAGAGACGCCCGCCAAATCGCAGCCATTGGTGCGCCGTGCCATGATTCTGGTTCTTGAAAGGGTCGCAATCCAGGTATCCAGGCGCTGCTCTGACCAAGCCTGGGAAAATAGTCGTACAATGTGTATCGCAAGTATAGTCCGCCTAGTGTGCCCTCTTGCTCCTTTACTATACCATTCCGAATCTGATGCTCAAGATACATTTGCGGGGTAGGACAGGTTCGTTTCGGAATGGAACCGGTATCCCTTGCCCGTGATTCTCTACATCTGAAGTCCTCTTTCTCAAAATCGATAAAGTACCGCAGGTCCGATGGAAGGAAGATCAAGCCGGGTTTGTTGATGTCGTCAAAATTCCGATGGCAGGTAGGACAGAGAGGGATAGCATTATCGATGTCTCCGAGATGGTCGAAGGTCATCAAACCTTGCTGCACGAGCTGCGGAAACTAAGATAGAGACGTGAGCTGGAATGCATGCTGGAAAAGTGGGAAGACGGTGAAGCTGGACGAAGGACACCTACCTCACGATCCTTCTTGCCAATAACATGGCAAAGATCGGTCGGACGTGCTCCACAGTGCCAGCACGTCTCGTCATCAGTAATGCGCGCAACCTTCTTCTTTACCGTCAGAGAGAATTCTGAGGACGCGCTTGATACCGCGTAGATGCTGCTACCGGGTGAAGCCTCTTGTCGCTTGCGCTTCCGACCGGACAAAGAAGAGCCTGACGTGTTAGTTGGTGAATGGACTGGAGGAGGTAACATGGTCGGGGGAGGGTAGACGGGTGGTTGCGTAGTGAAAGACTTTATTGGGTGTGTAGAGTGGCAGAATGGGCTTTCGCATTGAGGGAAATCACCCATGCGCAGCATGTTGGAGAGTGAAGATCTTGGCAGCGACGCGCATACGCGGTCGCCGGAGGCTTTGCGGTCACGTGAGGTGAACTCTCCTCCAAACACAGGTGGTCCGAGCCCTCTTTCTTCGGAGATATTCTCACTGACACACATATCCTACCAGTTATAATAGCCGTAAAGTTGTCGCAGCAGAAGAATTGTGCGCTCTGAAGGATCTGCCTTGTCAATCGGCCTCCGAGTCCAAGTCCATTCCGTCAAGCTCCTCTGATTCGCCAGAACAATATGCCTTTGCAATCTGTATCATCCTCCATCGCGAGACTGCATATTCTAACCAAAGTGTATTGTCGCAAACGTTCATATCAAACTCTGCTTGTCCCTCCTGGGGTCCCCACCGAAGCACCGCTCCAATCTCCCGGTCAGGCGTCTCGTCAAGAATCTCGATATGGAACTTCAAGAAGCTCTTCAAGCGAGAGAATTTTTCAGGGCCAGCGAGCATTTCCAAGAACCCGTGCTCTTCCTTGCATATCAGTTGATTCAGCGCGGATAGATCGACCCAGAGGAAATACTTCTGTATTAACGACAAGTTCGCCACACGCTTTTTGTCCTTTAGAATCGAGCCGAGCCGTAAAATGGCCCATTGACACATCATACATGCCAGCGCTGAAGGCGCGAGCTTCCTTCTCAGACCAGCCCATTAAGTCGTCGTACATGTGGTTGTCATTCTGCACGACAGCTATCGTGTGGTAGACAGCCAGACCTTGCCAGAGCAGCATAGTATCCTCGTATTGGAGATCGTCCTTATCGAATTGGGGGTGAAAGACGTCGTTGTGAAGTTTAAAGAAGCAATCCACGAATCGCCCTCTAATAACAGGAGGAACTTTTGCTCTGCGCTCCTTAGAGAGTGGGCATGGAATAGGTACCGAAACGTAAATGTCGTTGTAGAAGTCGGAGCCGACATTGGCCAGATTAATGAGCATGTTCTTCGCTGGAAACCTGATTCTGGCAAACCAACGACTCTCCGGCCAGGATATCCCGAAGATTATCGTGTCCTCCCTTTCTAGAGTTGCGCGGTCGATGTCTCCGCAACGTCGATTCACCACTACACCATGGGGTTAGTTCCGAATGGCGCCATAAAGTTAAAGGGGCGCCATACTAAGGCTGAAAACATCCAAGACCGTGGGGTCTGAATTAATGTATTCGGAGATGGTCAGCTCTCGATCACTGGCGGCAGCTCTTCCTTGCACATCTCGACAACGGTCGCATGGCCTGCCGCCAGAGCACTGCAAAACGAGTCGATGACATCGATCGATCGAAAGAACCACTAATGTTACTTACGCCCTTTTTCATGTACGAGTATCGTAAACATGGATTCCTCGTTCTGCTTCTTGCTGCGTGTTTCTTAGTATTATTGCCGTCCGGTGTGTCTTGAGGTATTGAGAACTGCGGGTCTATCTGGAAGAAGGAGCATCCCGGCAGAGATATGTCCTTCATAGCCATCTTTACAGGTCGTTCAGAGACTGATATACTAATAGCTCGCTTTTTAAGGGCGATTTCCGGCTGCATTGCAGGGAGCGAGGCCGGCCTGAGGGAGACGCCGTGGTTTGGTTCAAGCTCGCGCTGAGTCCAGCTCGGAGCGTCAACACGATCCGACAGATTTAACCCAAGCGAACTGGGCTCTGCCATGTGAGGAACTATCTATTGACCGTGAGATAGGAGTCCTTTCTCTAATCCAATGCCTTCGAAGTAAGCGGAGTCATCAAAGAAGTCCGCGAAGTTGAAGTCATCTGCTGGACAAAACGGCTGCGGCATGAACTGAGCATTGGTAAAGCCATATGCTTCTGGAGATGGGCTCAAAGCTCCATATTGATCGTAGCCGGCCGACGAGCCGTATTGCACGACGTTAGTCGAATCCTCAATGTGAGAAGTCGGGAAAGAATGGCATCCGCCAGCTCCGTCCAGACCTTGAAGCGGATCATACAGATCGCCTGGGATCGATGGATATAAGGTGGTTGGACCTTGCACAATCCTCTGGGAGTGGATATCCTGGGGCTCTTGGGACATCATGATAGGTGATTCGGGCAGCTTATGATCCGGAAAGCCCCATGGATCCTCGACGGAGGTATCGAAGTTTAACTGAACAAAGGGTCAGTTCAGATTAAAGAACCGACATGCTGGAAGAAAGGCGATAAATGAGCAAACCTACATTCAGCACAAATTCATCAATGGCGGACTCGAGGGACCTTTCCAGTTCCTGATCCATTCTCGTCGATAGATCGAATGATATCTACTTACTCAACGCTGGATTGTCATCGGGGACCAGCAACCTATTACCTCTCCCATCGAGTAATGTTAAACTGCCGGCTGGTTGGACGAGCCAATCATGACGTCCCTTGGAATTCCGGTTCCGAATGCGGTTAGTGTTGATTGGAATACGAGGCTATGTTGTGCTACTAGGCTTGCCGGTTCTGAATTATGACGGCAACGCGCTAGCTTCATCACCAGTCTGCTTAAGAGTTTCTACAAGTCAGCGCCGCCCAAAGACTCCCAAAAGCTGCGAGCAACTTCGAAGTTGGCGGCTGGACCCGAAGATCTTCCCTAAATTGTCCTCGACAGTGATTTCGGCGGCGGTGGGACGGCGGAGAAGCGATGCGGCGGCGCGGCGAGGATTCCACGGCGGCAAGTGCCAAGGGGGAAGGAAAGAAGATATATGGGGGTTTCAGGTGGCGATGAAAACGGTGGTGGACGTGGCAGCTGACGATTTCGTAACATTAGCACTAGTTCGAGACCGTCAAGGCTTTAAAGAAACGGGTCGCCACCATGCCAAGACTTGTAATACACGTGATTCCCAGCTGCGGAGCGGCGGCAGATATATCTGTTGCATGCAATAGATGCAGTTTTGTGGGGACCATGGTAGTCGCTTCGGGGTGACGGTCGCTTCGGGGTGACGTCCGCATAGTCTTAAAAATCTCTGGACCAGAACTGGACCAGAAATTGACTAGAAATTGACTAGAGAGTAACTAGAACCTCTAATACACATAATACACTAGAAATACTCCCTTCCACTCGTCACACATATCCTCTTTACACTTCCTCGACATATCCTTCCTTATAGACTCAACCAACCATAACTCCACTAATCACACCCGCTCCATCTATATAATCGTGGAGATACAGCTAATAGGGCTATAGTGTGCAAAGCCCAAATTCACTACTATTATTAAGAAGTTTCTATCGAAATGAAAATACTAATAGATAGCTTTCACTATATAGTACCTATCGGTTAAACAGAAAATGGAAACTCTAAGTCTATTATAAATGTACTCCATTCTAATTGCTCCTCCACCCTATTATCAGGGGTTGCAGCCTATAGCTTGCGCCATCTTCCCGCTTAAATATAATAGAATACTAAAGGAAACACCACATGTAATAAAGCGCCTGAAAACATGACTTCGAGCACCACATAAGAAGAAAGAATAGGCATATTAAGAAAAGAGAATGATATCAGTATCGGTATCGACGTTGATACTAGATTAACATCAAGTATTAGCGAGAAATCTAAAACCAAAATATTACTAGATCCCGGCGCGTCTAGAAACAACTATTAAAGACTAAAATCGCAAACCGCTAAAGCTCTTAAACTACTATTATCCACAACTAGAGGAACATTAATAACAGATCCACGAGATAAAGGCGACACCGACACTAACACTAACACTAGCGCTAACTCAACTTCCTGCACGGATTTAATTTTAGTCTCTATTAAGACATTCTAGAAAGACACCCTCCTCTATATTCTTAACTCTAATACTTCTATCTTAAATAACTTAACTCTCTAGCGTTATACCGTAATTATCTTCTTTAGGTCTACTAGAATAAAAGTACTATCCAGATTCCATCTACGACGAATATCTTCTACTATAGAATATAACCTATTAACCTTAAGCCTCTTTACACCGTAACAGGACTCTAAATTCCTAGCCAACCTACCTAACTTTATATTACCTTAATACCGCTTTCTTAAGGATACTAACTATCCATTTAGAGTTTTAGCCGAGGTTGTAGTCATCGTTATTAATAGCTAAACTGTATATATTACCTAAAAATCTCTCTTTCTTAGAGCACTCCTCAGCTTCTCTATAGTACACTTAGCACCAGTCAATAAAGATAACCGACTAGTATTACCCTATATAACTATAGACTAAGATTACTGCTAAAAAATAGTAGTTAAGGCCGACTAGGTACTATTAAGGCTTTAATAAACACAAATAGCTATAAATAACTAAGTTATAGAAGCCATCTCGATAAATAGTTATATACGTTGCAGCAAACAGTAATAGATAAAGAAATAGTAAGTTTCGTAGTCTCTATAAACATAGATGTAATAAGAGCACTCTAAAACACTTAAAGTAGAGAAAAGCTTTAAAGTAAGAGCTAAATAGAAATAAAAGGTGCATCTAGCCTTTAAGTAACACTATACGTTATCTATAGTACCATCTTAGCTACTATCTTCCGGGCTATCTTAGCAATATCTAAATGACTAAAATAACCACTTCGTGTTCTTACCCTATATTCCTCTATTCCCTTTCAGATTAATTTATTCTTTCCGCTCCACTCTAGCTTAGTACTACGGCGGGCCCGTCAACTATACGAAATTATAAAATAAGTGTAGTTAACGGGACCTAGTTAAAAAGTAACACAACATCTCATAAATATTAAAAGTATATATAATATAACTACCGCTAGACTCGCCTTATTATAAAGTATCTGCCTCTCTATAAGCAACTCAATCCTAAGTGCTCCTTTATACTACTCCTAAGAGGGTGGGGCCGTCATTTTTCTATTCAGGTTGTTATCCCCCACTTCAACACATTAGTGTAATACTAAGAAGTAAAGTTAGCGTTAAGTAATAAGAGGTTTTCGAAGTAATTAATATAGGAAAAGACACCTACTACCGAAATTCCGATAACTATAAGATATAAAGAGTAGACGAAAAAGCAACTTAAAAGTTATAAGATTCTTATACTCTCTATAAGTAGCTCTCTCCTAGTAGCCCTTAAAATAGGGTTTAGTATTATTAATTCACTCTTTCCACTCTACTAACTTCGCCCTAGCCTATAGAAATCGTTCTAGCTAGTGTCTTCCCTATCTCTAGCTTCTATTATAATGTTCACATCTACACTATTCTTATAGCTATAGCTTATTTATATCTTATAGTGGCGTATAATAAGGTTCTAGGCGGCTTTATAAAAATATAGAGCACGTTCTAACCCTTTTAGATACCTCTATAGTGAGAATGTAGGTTCTAAAAATATATGATAGGGTACTTTAATATACGCTTATACTAATCTTCTAGCCCTTACTTAACCTACTATAGCTTAATTAATTATAGAGCTAGTATTAGACTAGTCTATCTAATTAATAATATCGAAAGTGCTATCCTAAGAACTAATAACATTATCTAGTACACTAATAAATACATCCTCTTACCTACTATATCTTCTTATTAAAATCTTTCTTAGCTATTATTTGCTTTTTCCCATCTTATTTTCTCTTCCGGTTTAGTATAATAGCTCCTAGAGGCTATCTAGCTTGAATTTCCGCTTACTTAAGATTAACAAGTATAAGAGTACCGCCCTGCTTATCCTATAGGATATTCTCTAGTTTAGCGTTCTTATACAGCACCTATAGTCTATATAAGGCTTATAAGGCGCTTTCCGTTTTACTAAGAAAATAACCTTTATTCTCTAAATAAAAATAATAAATAATTAGCTATCTAGCCTAACTAAGGAAGATTATACTAATATAAGCGCTACTATTATAGTAATAGGGGCGCTTAAGATTCACGAAGCCTAGGTAGACTAGGATATACTTACCTTAAATAGACTTAACTTGATTATATATTTGCCTTTTATAGCGAAAGTAACTAAAGTTAGGCTTCTCTATTCCTTTCGCGACTATAGTATATCTATATAAGGAGAGCCTAACCTTTAAAAGCGCTCTACGCGCTCCCTTAATATATAGTTACTTATAGTTAGTATCTCTTCTATAGTCCGTAGTAAGCTAATAGCGGATAAGATAAAGGAAGGTTTCTAAGTCGATATACTTTCCCCTATAATCCTAGAAGTTTAGGCACTCCTTATCTAATAGGCCGCTATATACCAATCTAAGTAAATAGCGCTAAGTGTAGTATAGCTAATTCTTAATTCTTAATTTTAATATTACTTCTATCTATTTTAGGCTACTAGCGCTATATTTATTACGGCCGCTACTTGCTTATCCCTATCTTACTCCTATAGACTAGCTCTAGCCTACACCGCGATAATCGCTTGGGCTAGAAGTTAGTATAAGAGGGGTGTAATTATCTCTATTACTATCCCTATCACTATCTCCGCTATTATCCCTATCGTCCCTAGGTTTATAGTATATGGCTACTAGAGGGCGAGACTATATTCGGATTAGTAAGTAAAGAAATCCTTTCTAGCGGCCCGGTTTATATAAGGAGTGAGGCCGCTCTCTATAAATAGTCTTAGGAATCTTCTTTAGAATATTAGTGTATTCAACAGCCCACGTGTCTAGGCTTATAGCTATATTATACTATAACTAACCTAGCGCTTTAGAAGTAAGCGTATAGAGTATAAAGGTAGAAACCTATATAACTACTGTCCTATATAGTCTATTCTTATTATCTTCTTAGATATCTAAACCTAGAATTGAAAGGTGGTAATAGACTATAATAGGGTTATCTAGAATATATAGGAAAATATTAGCTTCTCTAGTGTAGACATAGTCCTATTATACACCTTTACTAATTATATTAAAGAATAGCTAGGTAATTACGGCAGCTACTAGGGACTTAGATAGAAACTTAAAGCTATCACCTTCCTTATTAATTACTTCTTTAGCCGGTCAAATCTCCCTATCTAGTCTAGTAATAATCTCGGCTAAAGGAAACTTATGCGGCGCCTTATATTTAATTAAGACTACTAGAGTCCTTTATCCGCCGTCTACTAGCTTATATATATAGAATTAATCTATATTTCTAGCTCTTCTCCAGCCTACGCTTTTAGAAGTGCGCTGCTTGCCTTATTCTTAACTATTATCTGCATTTCTTCCTTTACCCTTTACTCTTCCCCTCTTTAAAGCGTCCGGTTCGGTGATTGATATATACTCTATATTCTTATCAATCGATGTCCCGCTCGGCTACCCTAGGTTCATATAGCTTTTAAATATCACCGTCCCGTGAAGCTAAAGTGCGTTCTATAGCTCTTCATCCTTATATACCTTCTTAAATAATATCTATACTAGGTTCTCGACTATCTCGCACGCGTAGTATTAAAGGCCTATCTCTAAGCTAATTAGGTTAAGGTATTTCTAAATATAGTCTAGTTAGTGCAACAACGGAAAGACGCACCGCGAATAGAAAGATAGGCTAATTAAGAACTACTTCTAGGTTTTCTTCTATTAATTTAGGAAGTCTTTTTATAGTATAATATACTATAGAAAAAGCTAACTAGCTAGTTTTATCGTGTCGCCCTACGTTATTAGAGTTTTATCGGTGATAATCTTAATTATAAGGGAGAAATTATAATAGGTTTTAAGATATTAAGCGAGTATCTTTAGCTATAATTGTTTTGCGTTAGCTTCGGTCTCTTAATAATATCACTTTTCCTCTTCGAGTTGTCGACGTAGCTCTATAAGCTACTTATCTATAGTGATATAAAGCTAGCGACGTTATTTACTTAATAACTCTCTTATTATTTACACTTTGGACTAGAGCTCCCGTAGATCAGCTAGGGAATCTAATTAATATAGTTTAAGCAAGCTTCTATCGGGGTAAAGCACGTGCCAACACTATAACTCATCGGCCCCTTACTACTCTAATTATATTTAGCTTAGTCTCGGCACCGAAAGCGGCGCGACAACCGAGCTGGATCTTAGGTGGATTGCCGGCAAATTCAGTGAGAGTGCCTCCCAAAACGGGTAGACGAAACCTCCATAATCCGACCCATTTTTACCAACACACAAATACCAACAGTTATAAAACTCGATCACGGCACGAGTACCTTTCAAGGTCAGACCATACACGTGAAGACGCTATGTTAACAGTAGAGGTAACCTCCGGTCTAACAGCCAGCTGCAAATAAAGGCCCTATCAAAGTTGCTTGATCTTTGTTGACTGAGAGCTGTTTGATATCTGGTTGGCTGGCTCCGGCTTCCCGCATCACCAGAGCAGCACCAGAGCATCACCAGAGAGCATGGCCGAAAAACTCGCTGGACCAGTACGTATTTGTCGTTCATGCAATCTACTAGCGGTATCCCCTCGGCAGCTGATATATCTAAGATCTTGGTCTCCGCAGCGGGGCGCCTCCGCAGCTGCAAGCAACCAAGCCCATTCTCAGCACACGGTCTCGCTTAGCAGCGCCTTTTGTACCAAGGCTGCACAAGCTATCGGCCGCTCTGTTCTGTCGCACCAATGGGGCTCCAGGTCCACACCGAACGTGAAGCCACACTGCGAGCCTCCAAACCAGGTTCCAAGCTAGCCTCCGATACGGGCAAACTCGGCGTGACGGGATCCAACAGGCATATGGTTGTGGCATGCTCTCCCACACTAGTCGCAATTGGGCTACGAAGTCGAAAAACTCGGGCAGCACCAGTGCCTTCCCCACTGGACGCGTGAGTCGGCTAAATGCCTCGCTGACCTCGCCAGCGGATTAGCGGAGGTTTCGACGGACGATACTCGTGCTGATCTGGCGCTTGAAGCCATGGGGTCTCCAGAGTCGATGTTCTGGAGTCACTCTTCACGGTCGAGGGCCGAGCCAAGCTCACCAGCTTGGAGAGAATCTGGACCGACTTCCTTCCCTGACACATCGCTTGCTGACTCTCACCTGTCGTGGGCCCATCGAGGACCCTTCGCTCTGCGCCTTGACTTCTCGAAAGCGCAAGAAGCGTCGATGCGTGAAGAGAAGAGGTAGATCGCCGTCGTGGCATGCCGGCACAAGCCTTGGCAGGTCGAAAAAGCCAAACAGCTGCCGAGGGAGGACGTAGATGGTTTGGCTACGCGCTACTGTTCTTCCACCACTCGCTGGTATTGCTTTACGCGTCCAGCTTACATACGTCCGACCTTCATCAAACCACCTTGCATCAAGAGCATCAAAGAATACAGGACACAAGTACATGGAAAAAACACGTGCGAAGCAAGATTCGCCCCAACGACCTCCCAGCTTTACGTGTCCTCTTCATGGGAAGGGGCAAACAGAAAAGCCTGCAGGCTACGGCGAACTCACACCATCGCAAGTCAACTTTTGATAGTGCCAAGATACGGTTTTCAAGGTTCATGGCTTGCCTTGAGAACCTTCTTCTTCTCCGAGGGCGCGGATTTCCTTGTCGTATAAGTCTGCCATGCTTGGGGATTCTTGAGTGGACCCCTCATACTCGGCTGGTTCTGAGCGAGACTGTCCAAGATTTCCTCCATAACTGCTATCCACGTGCTCTCCGATCGTCGGTTTTGACCGCTTCGGGGGCCGCACCGCTGCCGCCTCTTCTTCCTCATCCACATCGTTCGCTGGCTGGTCGTCCTGTAAGCGCCCGCGTTTCTTACTCTGATCAGTTGCTGGGCCAACGCTAGCGAGATGGACAGATTGCTGCGCGACTGCGCCCTGGGGCGGCTCTCCTTCAGCTGTTTGGTCCGCCGAACGTGGTGGACTCGCCCTTCGAAATGTCGTGTTGTCGGCGGAGGGGGCTGAAGACGATTGCCGTGAGGTAGATGTTCCTTTGGGAGACTGATGGGCACCTGACGTTTGCATACTAGGGGCCTCTACGATTGTGGCTTCAGGGAGAACGGCTCTGCTTTCCTCAGGCATTTGCGTTCGCTGGGGTGGAGATGTCTGTCGTTGTAGATGCTCCTGGCCGTCCCGCCCTTCTGGCTGCAGAGTTTCCGGTTGTGCTGAATCCGCTTGAGCATTGTAGGACTGCCCTATTTTCCATCTTTCCGCCTGTTTCTCGAGGGCATATATAAGTGGCATGCTCAGAATCGAACGTTGCCTCATATCCTCAAGACCTCGGAGCAGGAGGTCAGCCTGTCCTCGGTCCGGTTCGGTCGTGCCCGCCAGCTGTCGTGTGATGGACTGGCTGAGGTCGTTGCTCAGTCTTTTCTGCTCTTCAACATGAAGGTGTATGGGTTCGAGCAGCTGTTTGTATGTTGACAACCAGCTCCCGCTTCCATCTTTACTTTGTTGTCCAGTCTGACGGCGGCGTTGGCTCATCTTCGGCAGGGCGAACAGACGCGGCGCAGGAGTCGATCCTGGAGGGCTTAACAAGGCTGAGGTTTTGACGGAGATGCCGTTCGATCGGTGACGATGGAGATCGAGAAGAGGAGAGCAGTTGAGGTGGTGATTATTGAGGAAAACTTGGCCGAGCAGCCACAGTGTCTGCACAAATTCGAAGGGTTGTGTGCAAGGTCAGTTGCTCTCAGAAGAGAAGGGGGCTGCAGGCCCATCATATAGTCTGAGGCACGGCAAGAGGGACCGCTGCCTCCTGAGCACGTCTACCTAGCGGGGCCACTCGCCGTACTACTCGGCTGACGACCCTTCCTCCGTGGACCTGGATGGCTCTCGAGCAAGTCGGACAACCCCTTGCCACGCAGGTGAAGCTGCGGCACGGTTGACGTGCTACGTCTAGGTCCAACCGTGTCTGCCGTTCCCAGCCATCGCAGCATTAGGGCCGTGTAGGATCCGAGTCTGTCGAACCCCCAAGCACGAGCTGCGGCGTCCTATTTCGGGCACCATCCGCCACCCAAGTCACTAGGGGCTCGTCATGCGGGTACGAGCCGAGGTGGGCGATGCTTCATATGCCGGCCTACAGGGATTCATGAGCATTTACACCGAAAGCACAACCATGACCGAGCTCCAGCAGTCTTAGCACGAGGAGCTGCGTCGCCGAGATGGAAAGAAAGTGGGTTAAGTCGTGCGACCAAGAACTCCATCATGACGCGGGAACCATGGTCCTGGTGCAGCGAAGCCCCTGGCACAGAATCGGGCGTACCTCGACGTAGCCCTGTCGTCCTGTGGCTTGGTGGGAGGACACGTAGCCCCCGTGTCTTGATGGAGCCCTGTATGCGGACACCCCAGTTCCAGAGTGCTCAAAGTACCGTTAGATCCGCTGGGGAGACAACGGAACATCAGCATCGAATCACATCCATACCTCAAACTCGAGTAGGGGTTCCCAGGTCATGAATGAACGTCTCGCTCACGGCCAGCTTCAGTGCCTTCCATCGACCAACAGCTCAAGTCTCTTCAGTCTCTGCATTTCTATCACCTCTCTCCAAGCCAAGTGAGTCCTCTCCACGCTCACTGCCTCCGTTTTACTCCAATCGCTCTACAAACTCGCATCCTTCAGGCTGCTTTTAGGTAGGCTACTCTTCCGCTATCATATCACACCCTCTCAGCAGCCAGCGGCGTCGTCCTCGTTGGAGGAGACGCCACTGCTTGCTTGTAGAGGCCCACCTCGACCGAGCTCCTTGTGCTTCGACCTCTTGACCAGCATGTGACTGACTTCCCTTTTACAGGTCGATCTTGCCTCTACGATAGCTTGTCGTCTTTTGACCTAACCCATCAACGGGCAGAGTACGTTCCGTCAGAAGCTTCCCAAAACACTCCTCACGTCCCTTTCAGGCACTGCCTCAAACACCCCAAGCAACACACGGTCATGTCCGGTCCCGCATACCGACAGGTGTTGTCTGCAGACACCCATGCTCGTCCAGCCCGAGCTTGGCCCTGACTGACACGGTCACAGGCTACAGCAATGACAAACTTCCATGACCAGCGTCAGGGCAGCTTTGCCAATGGCTTCACTCCAATGGGTCCGATGATCGGTCAATACAGCACTACAGATCAGGCTCACCGAGCCCAACCCTTCCTCTCCACCGGAGCACCGATGCAAAGCGGAGGTTCCACTGTCACTGCTTTGACTCATGGCTTGGTGGACATGACTCTGCACCCTCAGTCCATGCGGTCTCGGCCAAGTCGAGCTCCCAGATGTCTGGTTCTCAGCCCTCGGTCACCTCTCAGTTCTCCAGTACCCCTCCGGATTGCAACGGTTTGCAGACCTTCTGCCTTTCAGGCCAACGCCAAGTGTTTCATCAACGCTGCTCGCGCACACTCAAGGGGAAAAGGGTACGAGTAGCCACAACCGTCAGGGCGTGGAGGACCAGAAGGGCGAATGACATCGCCCCCGCTGAGCGATGGACGCGTCGGTATGTACCTATGGGAATGCTAAGGAAGTCTGCGAGGAAACTGAGGTGGGGGCCAGCAGAGAGGGGGAACAGGTTGACTAGCAAGAGATTCCCAGCCCGAAGACCAGCCACCAAAGCAGAAGGCACTTGAAAGCCGACGCAAAAGACGTTCGCCGTGATATACATCAGCTGTAGAAGGACGTCGGCTCGACTCCATGGCCCTAGCAATGCGTGGCGGCGAAGCAGCAGCGGATAAGCGACGTGTTTGGACGTGAAAAGAGAGACAGCCTCCAGGACCCGTGCTGTGTGGGGATGGAGGCTAATGAGAACAAGTATAGCAATGATACCGCCTGCGGTTATGGCGTATACCTGGGTGCTCTCCATGACGAGATTGAGCGGAGAACTACATAGGGAAGTGTAACAAGCAGAGAGAGAGGAAGCATGAATATAACAGGACTTTTGAACGTAAGAGGTTAGTTCGAAGAGAGTGGGAAGAGCAGAGGGACGAACTCGTACTGATGGAATGGGGGCCCAGAATATTGAGGAGCCAGAAACAGATGGCAGCCAGCAATGGAGGTCGGGCAGAATTCAACTGTACCGGCATCCCCGTCGTGAGTAAGCTTCCCTGGCTCTGCTGTATCTTAGCCGTGTATTCTTTTCAAACACGTACGAGAAATAAGCCTCGGGCTTTGTAAAAGCAGATGCCTACGACAACTCACCTGGTGCTCGTAAGGTGCTGGGACAGGGCCCGGTATCCCATGCGGAGGGGATAGAGAGGTGAATGTACGAAACAAGTCCGAGGTCCAGCAGCATTCCGTGTCGAAATTGAGTCGTCCGTTGATTGACGCAAGCTTGCATGACCTTTGTGTCGACATCGTAGCAGTCTGAGTGTGCAGGCGACGCGCTCCTGATTCGACTGTGTATCGCCGTGTCCGGGTTATCGTTCATGACAGAAGACGCCTCAGTTAGAATATGAGGCGGGTCACTTTCGTATGACGCCCGCCCAATAACATAGGGGCCGAGACGTTTAATAGCTGCTTGGCCCTCAACCGATAAAATATCCCTCCGACACATGTCTGAATTCCCCGCTGCGTTTGGCAACGCATGGTGTGTGGGAGTCCTTTTGAGATGGGCGTGGAACCCGGATGCGGCAGCTGTGCCTATAAACTTCGTATTTTGTACGTTTGTTGCCAGATGGTGAGCGAAGCATCCGGTGGAACTGTGGCCGTTGCACCGGGCTAGTTAGCGTATGGGGTTGTCCTGCCTTCCCGCCGTCGCAGTCCATGCTCTCTGCTTCCCGGTCAATAAATACGTCGACAATTCTTTTTTGGTAGTTTCAGTTCAACGAGGTTGACAGCGACGAAAGCTCCAACAGCTTTTGCAATTCTGACGTCTTTGTTGAATGTATGATCCTGACGACCTTGACGACCTTGACGACCTTGACAACATTGACAATATTGACAACCTTAACAGTCTCGACAGCCTCAACAGCCTCAACAGCCTCAAGGCTGCGAGACTGGGCCAAAGGTCGGCTTGTGATAATGCAATTATTGTAGCAGCCTCGTCGGCTTTTGCTCGGCCCCAAGCCGTTATCACGAAAGAAGGGTCGCACGGCTGTTTGTTGATGCCCCTCCAAATTCATTGTGCGAGCCGCTGATCTGAAGGGATTTCCCAGGAAACTGTTTCTAGGAAGATCTGGAGTTCCTGGGAAATCTGTAGTTCCTGGGAAACTATTCCTGGGAAACTATTCCTAGGAAAATCTGGAGTTCCTGGGAAACCTGGAGTTCCTGGGAAACCTGGAGTTCCTGGGAAATCTGGATTCCTGGGAAATCTGGATTCCTGGGAAAAAGATACTGGGAAATGATATGGGTTCCTGGGAACAATTTCCTGGGAAACCCTTCTATTCCGTTTTGTGGTGCGCCAGCGGAAAAGAGAGGGCAGCACTTCGCGGCGGCGTCTGGTTTTTTCGCTAGAGCAAGCCCGTGCGCTGAGAGTGCAACTGCAAACGATATATTCGCATCGGGCTGATACAGATGGATGTCACGGCGGAGAAGACGAGGATCCTGTCTATAGCTGATCTCGACGCCTAGTAAATCGGGTACCGACAATAATGTGACGGAGAGCCGGACTCTGCGCAGCACTCCCCTGGGCGCATCAAGGTGTTCAGTCGCGATGCTCCGCTCACGGCCGCCAGCCATTGGTTCTGCGCCCGGAACAGGTTCCGTTCCGATAACCCCGCGGTTGAATGCGCGGCCGGCTTCAATTTGGCCCAGGGCGAGCGGGTTTCACGTGACTGTCCCCAGTCTCGATCCGTTGGACAGACGGCTTGCCTAAAGACACTGTTTGCCATGTAGACTCGATGCTGATGCTTTGCAATATACAGCTAGTCAAATGACGAGAGCATCTTTTATGAAAGTGACTCGGTTCTCCTCCAAAAAATGCCTATACAAATGCCATTTGATCAGCCAGATCCAGAACCTGTTCCTGCAGGCTGGCCATACCTTTCTGCATCCTGAGTGGCATACACTGCATGCAGCACGGCTGACCGCTGTCGGCTCCCATTTTTCCAAACGTCGGCCGTGTTGAACCGCTCTCCGTCTCCGCCTCTTGGTGAAGTCCGGGTGGGCATCC